TGTTTCGCTCCCTCAATCGTAATTCGCACTCGAAATTTTCGTAAGCTAGTTACAGTAAAATTGTTTAATTTATTCTTAATTACCGTGCGAATTACGACCAATTCGATGTCTTCTCTTATTCTTATCGAAATTTTAGCGAAACCAGCTGATAAATCAAACCAAAAGAGAAGAAAATCATAAAAGAAAACACCAACTTTTATTTGAAACCAAACACTATTTGTATATTAAAGAAGAAAAAATTAGAAATCATTAAAGAAACTGTCATTACATTACCAATTCAATTCAAACTTTTTCTAACTTCTATTAAATCTTTCATTTTCGATGCGTTTTCAAATGGAACAAACAAGCGCCATAGAAAACTGTCAAATTGCGTGCCATGTGAATTGGGGTAATTCGCATTCGTAATTGAGAGGGCGAACAACGTATTTAAGGATGCCGTGGAAAAGCCGTATAAAATACAAAAATTCTATAAGGTATCTAGTTTCACTTCGAAATTTTTGACACTAAAAATGTTTGCTCAAAAATTTTTCATCCCGCCACTTAAAAAAAAATTTCAACTTAGAAATTTTTAAATTATTTTTGGAGATACCTTCTAAACAGATGCTATAATATTGAATACACTTATGAATCTATTAAAATATTTGTTTCAAAACCTTTTTCTTAGGCGGCAGAAGTAAGAAAAGGATTTGCTAGATAGATAAATAAAAGGGAAGGAGTTGAACTTTTTTCACTTTTTTTTGAAATTTGGACCTTTAGGTTTTTCCAACTATTTCCGAAACATCCGTGGTTTGGGTCCCTGAGAACTGCAGGGTCGATAAGCTGACCGGATAGTCATAACACTGGTAATCTCTGCGGTTTGTTATAGATTTCTCGGAAATATCTTCATCGCTTCCATCTCTAGGCATCATTAATCTTCTGAACTTCGTAAAATACAATACGTTTTAGCAAGTGGAAAGGTGAGAGGCATCTTCTTCATAGAACTTACGTAGGTAAAATCAGGAGATCAGAGTTCCGTGATCGAGCAAGCTGTTTAACAAACTAACTGATTAGTATCAATATATTTATATATTTCATGTATCTCCCTATAGAAAAGGTTGTAGTATCTCTAAAGAGTGTTCACCTGTAAATAAATATATTACTAAAAAAGACGTACAAAATTCAAGAGGAGTCGTCCAGAGATCGCACAGACCGAATTGTGATGATATTTTTTTGTACTGGAAATGATCATTAAAATACCCCTTTTATTGGCCAAGTTGGTAGCACAGTCCTAAACTCGATCGATCAACCAGTTTATTTGCAGCAGCTGTTGAAATCAGTTCAGTTCCATCTGCGAATTTTGTTTTTACGGCCTCCATCGAGTCGAAACGGGTTCCACAGATTCAAAAATATAAGGTCTATTATGACGCAATATTTTGGTGCCTACTAAAGTTTGGTTGAGTTCGGTTGAATTTGATATGTAAAGCTCCTTTGAAACTCAGACCTCACGTCATTAAAATTGTCTTCATAGTTATTTGTTATCCTAATGTACTTTTGATTTACTAGCGTAATGCTTTCATGATCATGGAATGATTATTAACTTAGGTCCGGGGTATGCTCTGCTTGATTTGTTTCGCGTCCTTCGCTCAACTTATGGTCAACATAATCGTCGTAGTGAGCATACTATTCGCAACACCATCACCCATCTTGAGATCCAGCATTCATTATTGGATATTATTCCACCGAATAGACCTGGACGTGGTCGCAGTGAAAAAAATATAACGCCTGCAGCTGACAGTGTACACGAAGACCGTGGAGCGTCGATTCGGCGCCGTTCGCAGCAACTCGGACTGACATATGAAACGACTTGAGGCATTTTATGTCGAGATCTTAAATTGAAAGCGTATAAAATACATTTTGTGCAAGAACTGAACCCGTTCGACCTTCCCAAGCGACATGGCATCGCTTTATGGGTTCTTGAAAAGTTCCAAGAAAATCCGACGTTTTCGTACCAAATTATATTCAGCGATTACGCCCATTTCTGGCTCAATGGGTATGTAAATAAGCAAAATTGCCACATGTGGGACGAAGAGCAACCTAAAGAGATTCAAGAGTTGCCATTTCATCCAGCAAAAACAACGGTTTGTGGGCCAGTGGAATCATCGGTCCATATTTCTTCGAAAATGGTGCTGGATAGAAGGTACCCGTTAATAGCGACCGTTATCGCGCGATGATAATCGACTATTTAATGCCTGAAATTGCGGCTCGTGATCTCGGCGACTTTTGGTTTCAACAAGAACGCGCCACTTACCACACATCCAATAAATCAATGGATTTATTGAGAAAACATTTTGGTGATCAGATAATTTTACATTTTGGGCCGGTCGATCGGCGTTAGACTCCTTCTTGTAGGATATGTAAAGTCTAAAGTCTATGCGGATTCAGGCCTTGGAACAAAACATCACGCTAGTCATTCGCTAGTTACCAGTCGAAATGCTCGAACGGGTCACCGAAAATTGGACTCAACGGATGAACTATCACAGACGCAGCCGCGTAGCCAACATTTGAAAGAAATAATCTCGAAAAAGCATATGCCTAAGAATATTCCTTCGAATGGTAATGAACATTCCTCGTTAAATTGGAATTTTCTGTGCTTTTTTTAAGAAAAAGTAGGCAACCTCAAAATGGATCACCTTTAATGTGTATATAAGAAACTTATATATATAATTGACTATTTGTAATCACTGAAGCGATTTTCGTCCGAGCTTCTTCTCTAATTTGTGGTGCGCGTCCTTATGTTTTTCCAAGAAATGGAGGGAGCTTCCGAACGGCTGATGATTTTTTTATGAGGAGCTTCCATTCGCGTCAGAAATACACTCGGAGGGGTTGACATCCCCTGCCGAAGGGCGATCGCAATTAGAAAATTAATATTTCATTGAAATTAATTTTCTTTAATTTTTTAATTCTTGGTCAGAAAAGGAGTCGAGCCTTGGCCTTCTGAATAGCAGTATGCAATGCGGCCGCTAAGAAATTTACTCTCTAGAAAAATTAGTAAGCTAATAAGTTAAGAGAAAGTAAACTATACTAGATGCCTCTTGAGAAAACGACTCATGTATTTGAAAAGATTTTTCCTGAAGCATTTTCTTTTGAATTATATGAGTATTCTTTTTGCTATAAATTAAGAAAAAATTAAATTCGTGAAGTTTAATATATGAAAATGATTAAAAAACGGTCTTTACATAATTGGCCTGAGTTATTGTGAATGAATTTAACTCTCTCACACTGATTGCCTGTGTATTTATTTAACGCCGCTGCATTTACGCAGTGGTGCATCACATTGCCGTATTTGTAAACATTGCAAAAGTCAATGTCATTGATATAATACATGTACATGCATATACACACACACATTTGTACATTTTTGCTATATACTCTTTCTATTTTTAAAACTTTTCCTTTCTATGAATTTTCTGTTATGCTATTTTGATTAGCGTATTTTTATTTTTACACACATATTTATATGGATATATTTATTAACAAATATGCACACATGCCAGTATTAACATTTCTTTCACACAATTGTACTCGAATTAAGTTCGCTCTCATTAACATTTACATGTATGTACAAACTTATATGCAGACTGTACGTGCCGTGCACACTGGGTATATTACCGTTGTACAGTTAACGGTTGTACTCAACTCTTCAAGTTGTTACCTGTATTGAAGTTTCTTTATATTTTACATATGATCTGTGTCTCTGTTTCTTCATCTTCTTATCTGTCTATCTAACGCCCCGGGAAAAACATAATTCGGCCACAACACCATAAATGGTGTACATAAATAAGTTTTTAATTAGCTAAAATATGTTCATGGCATTCACGCCCAATTCTTTGGCAATCTGTTCTTGTGCCAATCGTGGGTTTTCGCCAAATTTGGATTTCACCAGAGCTACATCATCAGTGGAAGATTTTGGTCGAACTTCTCATTGCTCGTACTCTACGAAAAAATGTCTGCTCTGGAGCCTTCAGAACCACTTAGAAATGGTCTTTAAAGACGGTGAAAAGGTCTCTTTGCAGTTTGGCATTCACGAAATATTTGTATGGGCTATAAATTACGCCGAAACCTGAAGAGAATCAGTTGGCGAATTTCTCTTTGCTTTGGTGGTGGATTTTCTTTTGACCTATCCTCAGCTATTTTGCATTTTCTCGTCTGCCTTTTAGCCGATCGTTCTAAAATTTGAAAGAGAGTCTAATAAAGTAATTGCAAAGGATTTGATACTTTTAGATTTAACAAAAACAAATTGAAAGTCCTCAATTGACCGAACTTTTGTTAATCCCCTGGTATTTTTTTTTGCAACTTGAAGTGAATTTTTTTCTAACTTCAAAAAGTCCATATACATAGAAGATGTACTCATATAAATTAAAAACCAAACGCTTCGACTGTTTCAGATGCATCGCGCGACCTATATCACCGGCATCCCTTCACGTGTTCAGACTGCCACCGCTTCAGAAAACTCATCACAACAATGGAAAATTCCAATGTTTTTTAGTACTATTGTTTTTGAAGCTTAAGTCTGGCACATTATTGTCCGAAAATTTCGTTTACCACAATAACTTCCTTTCCTTTCTAAAATATATATGCTGAAAAAACGTTTTTTCGGGTTCTAAGTCACAGTTTCGCTCACAAAAGATTGTCTCGTTGACCATAGTGTTGGCAGTTCAACGGTTCACTGAGCTATATATATTGGAAAGAAAGATTAAGAGAAGTGTGACATTTTATTTTCGAAAAGCCCTCCTTCCATACAGAAAGTCCAAAAAACGAAGACGATGAGTGTAGACTTTTAAAATAATATATAACAAGTATATACTTTCCAAAAGTTTTTTATGAATGTGTACCGAATTTATAAGGAATAAATTAAAACGTTTTTCATGTAAATATTTATGTATGAGTATAACAATGTGATTGATTATTTCCTTTTACTTTTTGATATGTCTTGTTTTTATTTTTTGTTATGTATTTTACAGAAAGTCGCCGCGCCGTGGAGTTACTCTCAACATACACAATCCATTGTCTCTATTCAAGGGTGGTTTCAGTCGCCATCGTGAAACTGCAATCATTATACATGGCTTCAATGGCACCGCTGTAGATATGCATTTGCAATTTCTAAAAGACGGTAAGTTTTTTTTTTTTTTAATATTATTATAGGACATACAATACATATATATAGATGTGTTAGGTCAATTAAAGAGTTCGTTCGGTTTTTATCCAAGAGATGGCTTTATTGTCCATAGTACTAGTGTTACGTGTCGCATCATATAATACGATACGGCGCTGAAAACGCGTTTATTCGCGCTAAAAGTTTGTCCTTGACAGTTTTTCGATTGATTGACTCAGTACGTTGTGAGCGCTCGTCAAAGATGGACACCAGCAAAGAGAAAATTCACTATATTTCACAAATTTTCTTCGATCAATGCGAAAAAGTAGCCAAAGCAACTGCAAAAATTAATTTAGTCGTCGAAAATTGCGATAAAATCATGGAAATAGTGTAAACAGACCGTCACTTGAGCACTTATTTAATTGTTGAGGAACTAAAGTTAAGCCAGAAAACCGTTTGGAACCATTTGTATAACCTTGGATTCAAAAAGAAGTTCGATGATGGATCTAATTTCCGTTTTTGAAGCGGATTTGTGAAGCGGCCCAAACGGTGCCCAAGACCGGATTCGGCACTCTACTGCCAACAAATGGACCGCTTGATGGCAGCACTCATTAAGAAGAGGTCATCTTTGATCAACAGAGGCCGAATTGCGTTCCATCAGCCAACGCCAGGCCACACATGTCTTTGGTGACGCGCCAGAAGCTCTAGGAGCTTAGATTGGAGGTCCTAATGCACCCACCTTATAGTCCGGACCTGGCATCAAGTGATTACCATATCTTCCTGTCCATGGCGAACGGGCTTAATAGTGAGAAGTTGGCCTAAACAGAGGGGTATGCTGAAGTTGACATCTCGTTGGCAACAAGTTTACGAACAAAACGGCGCACATTTCACACAAAGTTATCATATTTTGAAAAATCAATAAAAAAAAACCGAACGAACTTTTTACTTGCCCTAATATAAATATATATATATATATATCATACAAAATAAAGGTCTACGCAAACAAGGCTTAATAAATTTTTCGCCTTAAATTATCCCACATAGTCATCTAAACTTTGTTTTGGAATTTGGAAACAGTAGGGGGGTGCTGCCTCTGTTTATTCGTTCTTCACCTCCTCTCTGATTTGCTACTTACTCGCTTTGCTGGCTCGTTTATATTCATTTAGCCGATTGAAAGTTTATTCATTAAAAATATTGACATCATTTTTTAGTTATTTTTAATTTAAAGCATTTTTAATGAAAACTTAATTAAATTTTTTAAAATAACCTCGCCGGTGAGCACAAAGGTAGCGTTTTTATGCTCGCGGAATGAGAGGGTTGTTGTGTGAGTGATTAGGTGATTAGGCTCATTAGGAAGGAGCAAGATCGAAAGTAAAAATGGAATAGATATGGAAAAAATCGGATATCTTGATGTTATAAAGTTCCTTATCACGCATAAAGAATAAGTTATCATTCGTTTATGGCGACTCTTGCCTGAAAAGAACTATGACGATCCGCGGCCGTACAGGAACAACGAAATGACGAAGCCCGAAATGATCCAAAAAGTTGAAAAAAGTGGTTTCAGCGATGTTCGACCAAAGAAGAAACAACTCGCAGAAATGGTTGGAGTATCCGAGATCCGACACCACATCTTAGAATATCACACGAGTGTCGAGAATGCTATTTTTGCACAATAACACGCCCGCCCACAAGAGCCGCATTGCGTTGGCCTGCCTTTATAAGGTGGGCCTTGATATTTTTAATTACGTCGCGTGAATGTTAATTGTTTCCAAAGAGAAAAAAAATTACTGAGAGGTAAAAACATTTTACTATGAGTGTATAAATTAATTAATTGTATGATCTGTAAAATGATTCTGTCTTGCAGGTGAATATATTTGAAAGGAAAAATAATTTATTTTCTTATTTCCACCCCTTATTCCCCATTCCGCGAACATAAAAACGCTCCCCCATGTCTATCAACGTTGTTTGAAGTAGTTGCCTCGAAATACCAGAATACAGCGTGTATGACAAGTCAAGCCAAGTCGTTTGTGGAAATAAATAATTTAGTTTTTAATTTTATAAAAAAAAAAAATATTTAAAAAAAAATCCAAAAAATTTCCTCCTAAATTTACTTACAATTTTTCTAGCTTACTTATCTCGTGATTTCAATGTCATCACAGTCGATTGGCGGCCGTTAACGCGCTATCCATGTTACCTGCATGCTTTGATCAATACCCGCTTGACGGCACAATGCACCGCACAGGTTAGTATTAAATAATTAACTAAAATGTGTTAACTAAATGTGTCTTCTATTATTATGTAGAATAGCTTTGATGACTTAACCGTTATACTGTGATTTAGTAAAATCACAAACCTGAAGAGAAAAAGTTTTTGAGACTAGAAACGAGTTTACAATTCTGTAACCGACAGCCTATAGATATTAATATGCAGGGCACTCAAATTTGACCGAAAATAGAATCACTTAAGGGGCCGGAATGGCTTGCAACTTCAGAAATAAAATTATCCATATATTTTTATTTAAAAGTACAAAGTCTTAGTAATATCCTGTGAAAATTTCATGTCGATCAGACTAAAACTCGCTGAGATACCGATTATCTCGTAATCGTGCTCAAGAGAATTTCAATTGCTTTTAAGACTTTATACTTGTTTTTCTCAAAACTACTTTTTTCAAGTCGGTGCGTAAAGTAACTCAAAAAGTATTGCTGCGCACTTCCTTTAGGCAATAAACACTTGCGTATGAATAAAAACATTTTTTTACTATTTTTACAGGCAATAATATGCTGATTTTTTATGTGATAATGGTACCACCAAAAATTAAAAATCTTATATTTTTCAATATAATTTCGTTCATCGGCACAAGAAATAAATAAATCAATTAATTTTTTTCATCATAATTTCATAAATAATAATAATTTTTTGAGAAAAAATTCTTAAATACTTTGCAAACATAGCCATTTATTATGTACGAAACTTGTATAATTATATTCACTCAGAAGTGAGAAAAAAATATCCAAAAATCTGCTTTTTTCAGCCTCGGAAACCATTCTGCTCCTTGAATAAACAAAATATTAAATAAATATTTAAATAATAAATTTAATTTAATTTTTTTTTTACAAAGTTTGAGATTGTAATGTATGACAATTGGGCTTATACTTATACAAAAGTTTATATTTGAGACTGGTGGTCTACCTTCCTGTGTGCGAAGAAGCAGTGTGTCCTAAAAATAATCGAACTTTATATATTAATCATACAACATACAGCGCCATCTATTGAAAATACGCAACATTAAAAAGATACATTCATCCTCTTTCATGTAAGTCGGATGATAGATGTAAAAGTGACAGCCCTTTCAATAAAACCAAAAGTGTGCTAATCGCTCAAAAATAAAATGGAACAAAGAGCAAATATAAAATTTTGTGTCAAACTTGAAAAAAAAAAAGTAATGAATAAAGTTTATTGTGATGATTGTATGAGTCGTACGCAAGTTTATACGTGGTTTACACGATTTAAAAATGGTCGTGAGGATTTAAATGACGACCCCAGAGCAGGACGTTCAGAAACTAGTAATCGTGCTGAACTGGTGGAAAAAGTCCGTGAAATCATTGTTTTCGATGAAAATTTTACTACGAGAATGTTGGCTGAGGAATTGAATACGAGTAAAAATACTATTTGGAGAATTTTAACTGAAGATTTGGTGAAAAGAAAGGTCTGTGCGCGATTTGTTCCACATGAATTAAATGACGACCAATAAATCGCTCGAATTTTTAATGAAAAAAGGGATTTCTCTCATCGACCATCCTCCGTATTCGTCTGATATATCCCCACGTGACTATTTTTTATTTCTAAAACTGAAAACCAAGATGAAGGGAGCATTTTATGATGATATCCCAGCCATTCAAGCGGCTATAAGCGAGGTACTGAAGAACATTTCTATAAATGACATAAAAAATCTATGCATGCGCTGGTTGATCGTTCCAAACGTTGTGTTGAGTCAAATGGAACCTATTTTGAATGAATAATAACTTTCAAAGATAATATAATATAATGTGTATTTTATTTTATATCCAAAAAGTTCGCTTATTTTTGGGTCACACCGTGGAAATATGCTGAGAAGTGGTATTTTTTTAATAATATATACATACATATGTATTTTGAGTATTGATAATTTCTTTATTTAAAATATGGTAATAATAAAATTTGATTTTTAAAATAGCTTTGTAAATTCTAATTTTTGGTAGCATCATTCCTAAAAAAAATTAAAAATTTTGAAAAAATAAACCATAAAAAATATCAATACTTTCAATTAAAAATTGTAAACATACAAGAAAAACTTTGTTTAAATTAATAGGAATATTTAAATGAGCATTACTTAGTATCTTATATATTTGAATCAACAATTGAAAAACAAAATACGGCTGGTACGAGATTTAGAAAAAAGTACCAGGATAACTGTCCTTTGCAGGGTTATTGGCCCACCATTCAGCACTCAAGTCAAAAACATTTTATTTGAAAATACATTTTAATTATAAGCTTTTGAAAAATGTTTCGAAAACAAAAGTAATTAAATTAATATTTATGCTATGATACTAAAAACCAAGGTAGACACTCAAAATTTGTTTTCAAAAATATTAGCCATTTGACCTAAACAGATTTTTTGGCTTTTTAAAAAGCATTTTTTTATAAAAAAAAAATGATATATTTCTAAAGTGGCGATATCTTGAAGTTAAAATGAAAATAAGATACACGTATGCAGGCCTATTCTTACTGTAACTAGTAAAGTAAATTTTGTTACTTTTTTTTTAACACCCGAAATTGAATTTGGTATTCTGGCGAACTGGTTACAATGTTTGAAAAACCTTTGGCAGCACTGCTTTTTTCGTTCTTGTCAAATTACATTTATCAGTTGGTGTAGTAAGTAATTCACATCGAAATGGAAGACGGTGCACAACAAAATAAATAAGTTTTATTTATTTGTTTATTAAATCATAAATATTTGAACGTAATTATGGAAAATATGCCTAAGCGACAAAAAAAAGCTGAAAGAAAACGCTATCTTATAAATTAAGAGCAATTTTTTTTCTCGAAAACTTCTTGAAATACGCCTTTTTACACTTTTTTCTTCGTCTTTAATGAGTTCCAAGTCTAAATTGGATGTTATTTTTTCTCAAAGTAACAACAGAAAATTAAACAGTAGATTTTTTGTTACCACCTATTTTGCTGGTAACAAAATTTACAGTGTGACAGTGAACTTAGAATACGAAATAGTAACAAAATTTACTGAATGGTAAAATTTAATACCAAAGTAAAATTTAATACCAAAGTAAATTTGTTACCTCGACAGAATTGGGCTGATGATGTCAAAAAAAAATTGTCTGTCAATTTTACCCTTCTTTTTTGTGTCTTGATTCACGCATTGAGAGAATTATAAAAAGTAATAGTTGAAAGAATTTTCATTTTTTTACGATCTAAAAATTAACAAAAAATATTTAATTTGGCAAATGTGAAAAGAAAAGCTCAAATTTGGAAAAAAGCAACAACTTTGAAAGTGAAAAATACTTGCTTATAAAATTTGGAGTTAAAATTAAATTTCAAAAATTCAATTTACCATTTGTAATATTTTCGAAATCTTCACATCTTCCCGTACTTAAGTCATTTTTTAAGCCAATTCGCTAGTTTGATGGCCTAATCAGTATCTCTTCAGTATTTATGTGAATATAAACAAAGTACGATTAGGTGGTAACCCTATGCTAATATTCTTAGTAACAACACGAAATTAAGTGAAATTAGTATGCCAAACAGTGCGCATGATACATATGTATTTATATCGAAATCCTTAAAGCGGGTGAACTGCTCGTAAAAAAAATGAAAAGCTAAATGGCAACCCTATATTCAAATATCTCGAAATTAAAGAGATTTCCAATACGAATCATCTGGTACCCATATTATACTGTTTTATTAAATTTCAAACTAATTTCAGTTAACTGGTAACCCTATACAATATGGAAAACTTTATCAGCATTAGAGCTGCATTCAAAATAGCTGTATATATATTGTACATATATTTTATATATATATGTGTTAGATGAATTATTTGTTTAAACTATTAAGATGCGAAGTTGATATTTCGCAAATATCTCTACTAAGTGACATAAACAAATAAAACAAAATTAAATTTCTCCATATTAATTTTCTTTTTACGATATTCCTATATGGCTTTCTTTCCGCATAGGCTATACCGTAAGATATTTGCTATCATTTTTTTTAATAAAAGAAATTTTATGTACATGTTATTTAACAAATTGCATTAAATCACGCAATATATGCAGGTACACAAATGTACTTACATATGGTATGTATGTATGTCTACGAATTTTCAAATATGTACATACATATTTTATTCATATTAGACATACGAGTTCATATAATATTTTCGCATAAATTTTTCGCATAAATTTTTAATAAAACTTCTTCGAACACGCCAACTGTGAAGATGTTCGGCTGAACAGCCAGAAGTAATTGGGTTCAGCGTAGCGCATCACAATCGTTTTTCCAAATTACATTATGTCTTCCATTGGAAAATTTGTACATACTATTTTTAATAAATAATTTCAATTTAATTTAACTGTCTCGTACACACTTCCGTTACTAAGTATCAATAGGAAATTAAATCAATAAATCATCTATTTCACTTCCAATTTCACTCAAAAGCAGTAAATAATAATAAAATTTAATAAAAATAATTTAACTGTTTTTAATTAAAGTAATGTGAATCCATTTTTGAAGAGGAAATGTGTTAAATTCGGTCTTAAATAAATTTAAAAAAAAACTCATTTACTCGTTTCAAGTTGTGGCAGTACAGACTAATATCTTCTTATTTTAACTATTGTTTTGCATTTCTAATATGGACAGCTTTTCCGAAGGGAACCGCAGAGAAGCTCTTGCTTATTCACCTTGACATTTAATACCCTCACAGTCATGTTCAAAAAAAAATATATATATATTGGGTGTATGCACTAATTCGTGCGGTTTTCGAAGAAAGGACTCTTCAAGTATTATTTCGCGTCGTGTTCATCTGTGGCTATATTCATTTCAAAGGTACTGTTATTTCGCGTCGTTTTCAATAGATGTCATTTATTTTAGCGCGAACAACAATTTGTTTCATTCATTTGAAAATGTCGAAATTTGTACCAGATAAAGTGTTTTTGCGGGGAGTTCTTCTTCCTTACTTTAACATGAAGAAAAGTGCTACCGAAATCCATCGTATTTTACTGGACGTCTATGGTGACCATGCTTTAGCCGAACGAACGTGCCAAAAGCGGTTTGCACGTTTCAAAAGTGGCAAATTCGACTCAGACGACGGACAGCCAAAAAAAATTCAAGACGAAGAATTGGAGACATTGCTCGACGCAGATGCATGCCAGACGCAAGAAGAACTTGCAAAAGTATTAGGAGTTGATCAAGCAACCGTTTCCAGATGATTAGAATCATAAGGATTCATCCAGAAGCTTGGAAATTGGGTGCCTTATGAATTAAAGCCAAGAGACGTCGAACGTCGATTCTGCATGTCGTAAATGTTGCTTCAACGTCACCAAAAGAAGTCATTATTTTTGCATCGGATTGTCACTGGCGATGAAAAATGGATTCATTATGATAATCCAAAGCGCAAAAAATCGTATGTGAAGCACGGCCAGCAATCACCATCCACGACAAAGCCGAATATCCATGGTGCCAAGGTTATGCTATGTATTTGCTGGGACCACAAGGGTGTGCTCTATAATGAGCTATTAAAATCGGGTCAGACGATCAGACGACCGAAAACAATTGATTCATTTGAAAAAGGCCATCGCGGAAAACCGACCAAACACGAATCGATAATTTTACATCATGGCAGCGCTCGGCGACATGTTCCAAGGCCAGTTAAAAACTATTTGGAAAACTATGAGTGAGAAGTTCTACCTCACCCGCCTTATAGCCCGGAATTAGCACCTTCCGTTTACCACTTATTCAGATCAATGCAGAATGCTCTCCCCGAAGTCATTTTCACTTCAGAGCACTTCTTGGCCACCAAGCCGGAAAAGTTCTTTTGGGATGGGATCCACAAACTGCCAGAAAGATGGGCAAACATCGGAGCTTCCTATGGGCAATAGTATATAATACTAACATTAAATGCCAAATCTTGCTGTGGTCACAATAGCTGAGTGGTTGGCATTGCTTACTGAAATTTGGATGAATTGGGGGTCGGGTCTTGTGGTTCGACCAACATCCAAAAATTATAAATAGAAAGTTATTTTTTCTAATTGCATCGCCCTTAAACAGAGTACGTCAAGCCCTTCGGGTATATTTTTAATACGAAATAAAACATCTTCATAATAATCCATCAAACTATTGGTTGGAAATTCGCTTCAGCGGTTACGAAGCACTCGGATCTTCTGAAGAGTGTGTGTGGTCTGGTGTTGACGATACGCAATTTCCTTCCTGTTGGCTAAAGCTGGATGCTTCTGGCCGTTTGCTTGCTTCAGACGGTCCAATTACTCACATTGTACTATACGAAATAAGGTTTTAGTAGTAGGAGAGCACCTCATAGTAGATGTTTCTTTACCAATTCTACCAAACTCACAAAAAAAGTATTCCTGCCCGTTAATCTTGGCTTGGAGGCCAATTGTGCCGGCTCAATGCCCTTCGACCACGACCGTTTTCCTTTGAAGCTACTGTAAGTGATCCACTTTTCATCATTCGCTTCAGAAATGGACGCGAGATACAGATCACTAAAGCCATAAATAACGTAGTTGTTGAAAGGCCATTGTTCCAAAAAAAAACCAACCGTTTGGTGCACTCTTTGGTACGGAGGTGTGATTCGACTTTACTTCTTTGAAAACGGCAACAGCGAGACTCTTATTGTCAACTCCGAGCATTATGGTCGTATGATAACCGACTTATTTTGGGTTGCAATTGAAGAGCACGACTTGGCCAATATGTGGTTTCAACAAGATGGTGCTACACGCCACAAAACACAAGCGAATATGGCTTTTTTGCGAGAACCATTTCCCGGCCGCATAATCTCTCGTCTTGGCGATGTCAATTAGCCACCGAAAATTTTTTTGAGCGGCTACAGGAAAACGCACTTACCTCAAAACCAACATTCGTCAAGTCATGAGATACCGAGTGTTCACCAAACGTCGTTGAAAATCACCTCAAACAGATCGAAATTTGCAAAAATTCTCTATTCTTAATTTCCATTGTTTTAAAAAAATGTTTTCAAATCCATTCATTATTCAGATGTCGAGTAGAGTATTCAGCTAATGAGTCAGCGTATTCTTGCTCTTTATTCGATTAAATTGCAATCGATAAATTATTTTAGTCATTTTATACTTGTTAATATTTCTGTGTTTATTTCTAGGTGTATTCTTTCCTTACTCATCACGGTGCGATACGTGAAAAGATCACTTGCATCGGTCATTCACTGGGCGCACATATTTGTGGTATGATTTCCAATCACTTATCACTGAAACAACATCGTATAATCGGTAAGTGGTAAATTATATATAAGTTTATTAATCTGTCTACATATGTATATAATCGTTTTTCTAGGCCTGGATCCAGCACGTCCGCTCATCGAACGGAAGAAAGGACACATATTTCGATTATCCATTGACGATGCCAGTGTAATACAGGTGCTCCACACTAATGCGGGCTACCTGGGACAAGAAGAGAATGTCGGCCACCTTAATTATTGCGTTAATGGTGGTAAATTCCAACCGTTTTGTAAAGGAAATCCCATAAGTAAGACTGAATGGACATACTCATTATTTCCAAGCTCTTCAAGCCTATTCTTAAAAATTTCTTACGTTTAGGACGATCGCGTTGTTCACATTTCCTAAGTATTTGCTATCTTGCCAGCGCTATGTTTAAACATAAAAAATTTCTTGGCGTCTCTTGTCCGAATGGCTGTGTAGAATTAAGTGGGCCCAAACGTTTGCCGGTGAGTACGAAAAATCCCTTTGGTGCCGTCTCACAAATAAGGGACTATCACATCGGCAATGACGCGCCTGACGAGTAAGTAGAAAATTTAAATTTTAACGGTTACATTTTCATTGTGATATGGATATATTTTTTATACTTTTATTCAAATACAGCGCCAGAGGTTGTTATTGTATCGATATGCCATATGTAAAACACTGTCCCTTCAATGATTGAACTTGAGTACAATTAACTTACGTAGGTAAAATTAATTTAATGATTTGAAATAAATATTAAATTTAGACAAAAATATTTCATAATAAATAAGTATTTATACAATTTTACTTGTTTCTTACTTTCGAGTTTATTTCTGATATGAAAATAAATCAGCCATTCCTAGCTGGCACCTTTAGAAAAGTATCGATATTTTCTTCAAGAATCGGAGGTGACGCTCAGCCAAACATCGATTAAAACATATATGGTAGATGACATCTACTTCTTCCGTAGGATCGAAAATTGGGTGAAAGGCAAGGGCATCATTAATAGTAAAAATATTTACATATATATATGCTGATGAGTATAAATGCGAATCGATACACATCACCCTTTCATTGATTTTTAAACTGCCTTCAGAAAGAAGCAGCCTCTACGCCGCTATGTCTGAATTTGATATCCCTGGAAAACTTATACAGCTGTGTAAACTGGCGCTGGACAACACCAAAATCGGAATCAGAATTGGGAAGGCCTTCTCCGAGCCATTCGGTATATCGACGAATCTAAACCAATCTACAAGTCACTCGCCATTCCTGTCTTACTAAATATATAGTGCAGAAACCTGAACGATGTCAGCATCCGACGATGTGGCCCTGCCAGTATTCAGGAGAACAGTTTTGCGAAAGATTTATGGTCCCGTTGGGCATTGGCTACGGCGAATACCGCAGGTAATGGAACGATGTACGAGTTATATTGTGGCATTGATATAATTAAGCGCATGAAGTGAAAGGAGCCATGCTGGCTCGGACCTTTGAAAGTATTGACTGCAGTATCCGCCGGTAGAAGCAGAGAAAGAGGAAGACCTCCGCTCCGTTGGAAGCATCGGGTGGAGAGCGACCTGCTTTCACTTGGTATTTCCAATTGCTGCCAAACAGCCAAAGGAAGCAAATAATGACGCGTTATTATTAATTCGGCTATAATCGCGTAAGCGGTGCCCATGCAATGAAGAAGAAGAATGCTAGTAGGGCTCTTCTCTGACGTGCCTCTAAGCTGAGATGAGGAAACTTCGATTGTAGGCAGACCAAATTTGTACAAGCACCAAGCAAGAATGAACATAGTATTCTAGTAGGTGGATTTATGGGGCGTTTACCCCTGAGTATCATCCTCAAAAACAGGTGATCGGTTAAGTGCAGAACGAAACGCTGAAGCTGTCTGGCCTTCATGAGGTCAAATCCTTCGCAAGCTTCTAGCTCATGCTTTACCAACACGGGCAAGTATCTGTGAAATAAAATAGGACAGTTTAGTTCAGTCAAGCGAACTGTTCGCGAACGCATAGTTCGGATTAATGTTTTCAATGTTTTAAGTGCGGTCGCTTGAGGTCAGTCAAACAACATTTTCTTTTTATTCAATTTGAAATTAAGGCTTGGCTTAATGATGTCAGCCAACTCTAAAGTTATCCATTTATTTAGTTTTTCCTCTTGATGGGCTTGCAGTAAAAAGTTACAGAATATAAGCTTTGGTTTTGTTCCCAAGAACGGCTTAGCTTAGCTGTTGCTCAGCTCTTTCACGTAGAAGGAATTTATTGTAAAGATACCACCTCCCTCTATAAATATCGAAATTTTTATTAAGAGGTAGCGAGGAACTTCTCCATCTTTGGGAACGATAATCCCAAGGCAGAGACAAATTTTCCAGATGGAGAGCTGTAACCAGAAGCCAAACAAAATACTGCAAAAGTTTTCCTGGGAAATCTAAGGATTGGCTTATTTGGCCTATGTAGAAATCCTTGGAGGATACCGCGAGAGAGTAAAAACCCAAAGACTCGTCAGCGCAATGTAGACCAATGTGCGAAAGCGAGCCTTGTGGAGGTGGGAAATTCTATTATGAGGAATGAGGCCCTGGGAACGCTGAAATACTTCAAAGATAAATATTGTAGTCCTACAACCGCATAAAAAATCAGCGTCAAGAACTGTAGAAAATCAGGACACTACGCCCCCGACTGTAAGTGGAACTCAACCCAAGAAAGAGTGTCCCATAACCAGCGTGTAAGAAAATTCTCTAAGTCAATAACAAGCTTCAGAAAGAAAAAAACACTCATGGAAATGGCGGAAAGGCGTCCGGTATCTGAAAGAGAAAGCTGACATGTACTTGGTTCTGTTTTACAAGTTGTGAGCTGCAGCATAAAAGTACGATTTGAGGACATGCACCTGGAATGTCCCGTCTCTTAATTGGGAAGGTGCCGCCGCCCAGCTGGTTGATGTCCTCGTAAGAATTAAGGCTTACATCACCGCCGTCCAAGAAGTGCGATGGACGGGACAAGTACTAAAGCGAGAAGGTTCTTGTGACATTTACAACAGCGGAAATTTAAAGGAGCGCAAATTCGACGTCGGATTTTGTGGTGGGAGAGAGAGTACTGGCCTTCACCATGGTGGATGAGCGTCTTGCCACAATCCGCATGAAAGCGAAGATACGCATGCGCCTATGTGTATCGAAGAACGCCCGTCAACACACACAAGAAAAGCTCGACGTTGAAAAGCTGCAATAACAACAGAATGCCGAACGATATTCTACTCGACTTGCACTCCTGCTCTCTGAGAGCACTCATCAGCAAATCGGTATACGGGACCTGTGAGACGGCATCGCAAACTCCCTACGTACAGCTGCAGACGGAAATATTGGATTTCGTAAAGGTCGCAAAAACAGCTGGTACGATGAGGACTGCCGCGTCGCAGCGGAGAGAAAACAGACTGCCTACCTCGCACCTTTGCGCGCGACCATAACACGTGCTCAATATCGTTCATTTGTGTTGGTTTCGTGTTACATTTTACCATCCACCTTAGTTAGTTGCAGCATATGATGAATATATAAAGATTAATTCCCAGCAAAAATTTTATCTCGGGACCAGCACAAAAATTTTTTTAGACTTTTCCTCTTTGTCGCTCAATTCAATAGATTCCTGGTTAAGTTGAAATCGAATAGGAAGACATTGATAACACTGATCGAAGATGAACCGTTTAGAGTATAAAACGCAGACTAGTCGCATTCTAGTTACTTACTGCTGGTATATTCAGACGAGAAAGTTTTCAGGAATTATAATTAAAACTGCCAGCGCTGAATATTTTTCAAAACTATTTTTGTTAAGTTGATAGTATTGTCTGGTTTTTGGACTGGACTGCCGTGTCGCAACCTTGCGATCGACCACAACAAGTGCAGGATGGGAAAGATACCGAGAGATGAAGAGGGAAGCAAGACGCATTTGCAGATGCATGAGAATGAAGAGCTTCAGAAGCTGGCCGACAAGGGTAATGCTCGAAAATTCTTTGTGAAGATACGACGACTTATGGAAGGTTTCAAGAACGGAGCAGACTAAAAGGACACAAAGAGGTGATCTAGCCACCAATGCCCACAGTGTATTGAATTTATAGAGGGAACACTTCTCCAACCTGCTGAATAACAGTGAAAATGGCATTACCTGACCATGAAGAGGCTCGAATAGAAATCGTTCGCTTAAAAAACAACAAAGCGGCGGCCTTTTCGTCGATTTTAAAGCTGCCTTCGACAGCATGAATTGGAGCTGCCTTTACGCCGTTATGTCTGAATTTGGTATCCCCGCAAAACTTATACGGCTGTGTAAACTGACCTTGAGAAGCACCGAACCCGCCGTCAGGATCGGGAAGGACCTCTCCGATCCGTTCGATACTAAACAAGGTCTCAAACAGGGCGACTCCTTATCCTGTAACTTCCTTAATTTGATGCTGGAGAAAATAATACGGGTTGCAGAGCTGACTAGAGAAGGCACAGTTTTTTAAAGAGAGAACAGCTGCTGGCGTATGCCGATGATATTGACATTATTGGCCTCTACAACCGCGCCGTTTATTTTGCTTTCTCCAGACTCAATAAAGAAGCGAAGCAAATGGGTCTGGTATGGAATGAGAGCAAGACGAAATATCTCCTGTCATCACACAGGTAGTCATCGGCTCCTACATCACTGTTGACAGTCATAATTTTGAAGTCGTAGACAATTTTGTCTATCTAGGAACCAGCATCAACATCAACTATAATGTCAACATTGAAATCCAACGGAGAATCACTATTACCAAAAGGTGCTACTTTGGACAGAGTGGGCAATCGATAAGTAAAGTCCTCTCTCGCCGAACGAAGATCACACTCTACAAGTCCCTCATCGTTCCCGCCCTGTTGTGTGGCGCGGAAGCATGGACGATGACAACATCTGATGAGTTGGCGTTAGGAGTTTTCGAGAGAAAGGTTTTGCGTAAGATTTATGGTCCTTTGTACGTTGGCAACAGTGAATATCGCATCCGATGGAACGATAAGCTGTACGAGTTATACGGCGACATTGATTTAGTTCAGCAAATCAAGAAACAGCGGCTACGCTGGCTGGGTCATGTGGTCCGGATGGATACGAATACTCCAGCCTTGGAAGTTTTTGATGCAGTACCCGCCGGTTTAAGCAGGGGAGACGAAGACCACCACTCTGTTGGAAAGGCCAGAGAGAGAAGGACCCGACTGTACTTGGCGCCAAACAGCAAAAAGACGAAGCGAATTGCGCAATGTTGTTAACTCGGCTACAGTCGCGTAAGTGGTGGGTACGCCAATAAACTGTGTGTTTACAGGAGAATAAACTGTGCAGTGTGTGCCATTATACAGGTGTAGGGAGTCCATATGGCGCTCTGACATTGTGCATTTTTTTGTATTTTGGAGTATTAATATCAATGTTTTTGTAAAAATCACTAAATTTTAAAAAAGCTGAAAATTTTTAACGCATAATTATTGTATTTTATTTGTAAACAAATAGCTATCAACTTTTAAACTCCAAATCCTATTTGCATAAAATGCTCGCTTTAGTTGAACATGTTAAATGAGGTATGTTTAGCTGTAACTATGCGAAAAGACATATGCAACAAATGTTGTTATTAAACACAGCCGTACTACGCTCCCAGCATTCTTATTTTGACATTCAATTGACAACTTGTTTAATTATAGTTGTTGATATATATACATTTGCAATTTTTTCAAAAGCCGGTCATATATAAAATTTATAACTAAGGACATGGATTACGAATTGGAATTAATTGATTCATTATCAGCGCTTGCCTACGAGGGTCCATGCCTGAAGACAGAAGGTCTTGTAAAAGCTTTGGAAGGTGGACCTCGAGATGTTGATTTTCGTGAATTGGTAGGTTGGTTAACAGAGGAGTTGCATGTTTTGCGAAAAACCGATGAGCATGTAGCTGAACTGCAAGATCCAAGTGAATTTGCAATGGAACTATCTGCAATGTTGAAAGAACTGAGCTGCCCATATCAGCGTTTTGTGGCTGGTCCATTATCTGAAAGATACCAATCTCGGGAAGCGTGTGCTCAACTACTTGATTACCTTGTAACCGAATTAATGGCTACAAAAATGGTGTATCGGTCAAACCCCGCTCAACAGTCTTATATCATACCGAAGTCGGAAACAAATACAGCACGTTCTTTGGAACAACTTTCGCGTGACTTGGGCTTAGGAAAGCCCCCAGAGAATGTATCGCCAAAAGCCTTCTTTGATAAACTCAACTTTAAAGTTGAGGAAGTTAAGCGGCAAGCTAAACCTGGTGTATTAAGTGAGCCTTTACTGCGTTTAGAAAAGCCTCTGACGGATGGGCAATGGAAAAAACTTGATGCAATATATGCCGATTTAGATGCGGAATACAATATGCGCAGACAAATGTTGCTTGCGCGGCTGGAAGTAACGATACAAAGTTTTCAGTGGTCGGATAAAATGAGATCAAAAGAAAATGAAATTGCTAGTCGTTATGAAAAGAAAATGCAAGAACTAGAGTCCTTACGATATAGCAAAGAAGATACCACTATTGTAGCACTATTAGCTGCACGTGCTGATTTGGCTATTATTGAAAAGACCAGTTCGGCGCAAGTACGCAAAAATACAGGTTGCAAAATACAGAAGCATGTAATAGGCAGTGTACCAGATCGGGGTGGACGTGCGCATGAGCATGCTCCTCCACCACCAGAAATGCCCTCGTGGCAGCAACAACGCGCTTCGGGACCAGCTGGTGGCAACATGCGTGGTGGCAGAGGTGGAACTGGTGGCTTCGGAGGTGGCAGAGGTGGAAGCGGTGGTGGTAGAGGTGGAGGTGGAGCCAGTGGTGGTAGTGGACACTGGCAGCAATACTCAAACTCGCCACAGACACAACGTCAACCTCCAGCATTCGACCAACGTCAAACGCCTCAAACATTAGATCAAGTAAGCAAATTATATGTCTTTAAAAATGAGAAGATTAGGTTTTACTAATTACATCCCTTTATTTGACAGGGTCGGAATCAAAATTGGGTAAGTGGTAGCGGTCGCGTGCAAGGTACTGGATGGTCTCAGCCTGGTAGCAACGGAGGCAATTTCCAAGGAAACGGCCGTGGTGGCGGTGGCGGTGGTGACAACTCTTACCGGGGGCGCTCAAATTACAATCGAGGAGGTGGAGTCCGACGTTAACATAGAAAATGTAGAAACTAAAAACCCAAACTCACAAGCGAATCATAATTATTGATTACAATATCAATTATACATGCATGCATATTTATTAAAAACAATATATATGAGTTAAAGCAATTTAACATTAGTATTCAATTTCGTTTTAGGCTCCTTAATTTAGTAGCGTCTCAGTGAGTCAAAAGTTAACATTAACCTGTTAACGTTTATAAAAGCTCATTATAACATTATTTATATCAAAAATGGCAATTTTTCATTTTCATTTAAAGTACAGTAGCAACTTATACTTTGCAATTTAGCATGAACTTAAATATTGTGGAATTGTCGAAAAGGTAATAAATTTGCTTTGATAAACTCAAGACGAAACTCTTACTTTACTTCAGTTATGACAATAAGAAAAAGTTTTAAATACAGCAAAATAATATATATCATTATAAAACTATTTTAACGACATTACAAATCGATCTCGGAATATTTTTTATTAACATTAAAACAGATAGTCAATTTCTAGTGTGAAATGTTTCGAAGTCGACATCAGAAAGGGTGTTTTTCTGTGTTTTACAGCTTAGGTAGCAGTCCATTGCAATTTTGGTCCACACATGTATGTTGACATACAAATTCGTGTAGAAAAATGTTAGCTTTTGCTTTTCCAGATACAAAATGGTTATGTCAAACGTGTCGTAGATGAGGACGTCAAATCTGTCGTCATGGAGATTATGGGATCAAATGTTTCCACCACCTACATTACGGGACCGCGAGATCCGAAAATGTCCTTCGGTATAAAACTGCCATTTCTAGTTCTTCTTATAAAGAATTTACACAAGTATTTTACCTTTGAAGTGAAAGTAAGTTGAAATCACTCTTCACACATACATATGTATGAATATTCTAAATAATAATTCCCTTCATTGTTTTTACAACAGATTTTGGATGATCAACGATTTATGCGAAGGTTTCGAGTTTCAAATTTTCAAAGTAAAACATCTGTGAAACCTTTCTGCACGGCTATGCCAATGGGCATGTCTCCGGGATGGAATCAAATTCATTTCAACTTAGCAGATTTCACGCGTCGAGCTTATGGCACAAATTATATGGAAACCGTGCGTCTACAGATACACGCTAATGTACGTATAAGACGAATTTATTTTACAGATCGTCTCTATGCTGAGGAAGATCTGCCAAACGAGTTTCGGCTAGTATCCAAGCCAGCCGAAAGGAAGAAGCATCGAGACTATACAGTGCCCGCTGCCCGACCTCCATCACCTGCAAAATCAGCTGCTACAACCGAAAGAACCATATCACCCGGTGGTGAGCCTTCAGAGGCAGCTACTGATGCCGCCGATACTGAAAAATATTATTAGCTATGCATACATAACACTTACGGTTAAATCTTCAAATTATTGTCGAATTATTTTATTTTATAGTATACTAATATATTTGGTCTACAGCATACTATTATATTTGACCTAAGAAAATTGTTCATTCGCCTTACGAATTTAAGCTAAATTTTTTAGCAAATTAGCAATTTATATAATGCAAAATTTATAGAAATCGTTAGTATTCGGCAGTTACTGCCGATTGCTATTTTCAACTGGGGCATCGCTACCGAATGCAAGTACTAGCAGATCCTTTTCAGTATTTTTCAATGCGCTGTGGTACTCAGTGATTTCTAAAGCTTCCCACTCGGCTTTAAATGCTGCTTTTGGATCTTGTGGCATTGTCATTGCAGCACCAGTCATGGCGTCAGCTTGTGCTTGAGTCTGATCCGCTTGATTATTTTCACCTAATACTAGCGTATAAATGGAACGCAAGCCGAAGACATTCAAGAAATACCATGAAGCTGATGAAACCCAGGCTGCATCAAGGGACGCAAGCTCTACACCTCGTTGCAGCATTGGTTTGAAGCGTAACGTGAGAGGAAAAGGCACTTTGGTGGTGACGAATCCTGAAAACATCCAATTTATCCAACCACCGATAATAACCATAGGCAACACATTGATAAAATTTCCTTTTACCATGTCTGTTAGCATAGCTGTAGAGTTTTGAGCTACCGGTGCGCGCTTTTGGGTTTTGAAGTATCCAGTTTCTTCGTGGTTGAAAAAGTTCTTTCGCATTGCGAATGAGTGGGCGGTTAAGTATTTACCATTCTCACGTAGAAGACGCGCTCGAATCATAGCTTGGCTGTAGGAAAAAGTATTTAAAATATTAACTGTGAAATACTCGGTTTTTAACTCGACTTACCTGTCTTGGACTTGTGTGATTTCTGCTTTCTTTTGTGACGATATCAGCACAGAGACGTAGTGACGGATAATACCAACAAAAAATGTTATTAAAACAATGGGTAGGAAAACCCAGACACGTATATTAGGATCGATAAGTAGCTCCGTCATCTTGTAAAGATGATTTGGACAAAATATTCTTAATTTTAATACACCTTTTCTCCAGAATGAGAACAAACACAAATGCTCACCTTATTTTAGATGGGTAATAAATTGCTAATCATATCTGACAGCAATTCACAATGATTACAAGGCTTAAGAGTGTCAATAAGTAAAAGGTGTGTACTTAGTAGAAGTTAATCAACATGAAAACTTTTGAATGTTCGATAAATTCTCTCGGAGGAATGGAATTCTTAGAAAGAGATCAAAAAGCCAAATTCGTCAAGTTATATCAATAAATTAGTACCAGCACCAAACTTGTCCTGTTTTGGTTTTGTGCTGTTTTCTTGTATGTTAGAAAATTTCACGACATCTGAGCTCACCTTATACTTTTTCTTTTTAATTATAGTTTTTTTCAATGTGACGGCAACCTTGTAAGACATTGTTTATTTATTAAATATGACATTACACATTGATTTTTAAATCAGAACTCACAAAAATTACTTGGAAAAAATCTTTTTTTTTCACTATTATTGAATTGCGGGATACTCAAAGGTACTGTTAAAATTATTTGCCAATCGGTTAATTTCATTTATGTTATTTTGACCAGCTAATAAAATGGACAAGAGTGAGAGGCCAACGACTCCTCAGCCTCCGCCTGAACAACAGACAACAGCGGATGCATCCTCCACCGCAACAAACCAACAATCATCTGCGCAACCTCAATGTAAGAGATCCCGTCCAGATCTTAGTTCACTGCCCACACGCCAATATCTAGATCAAACTGTCGCGCCTATTTTATTACATGGTTTACAGACACTAGCACGAGAGAGACCGCCGGATCCAATAAGTTTTTTGGCGGCATATTTACTTAAAAACAAAAATCGTTGCGAGGAATCGATTCCGGAAAATGTTTAAGTGGAATCTTCTAATAGTTTTTTGTTCGGATAATAATAAAAATTTAATATGAAATTTCATGTTTTATATATTAAGACTATATATATTTTGGGGTTGAAGTCTTGTATACAGTAAGGGCGTGTATACAAATACATAAAAATTATTGTAAAAACAATAATAATGAAAGGCGAAAAATCGTTTCATCGCTCACAAAGCGCCAACAAACTAAAATTATTGTTAGGACTTTATTCATCCATTTCCGTTTCGCTGACGCCAAACATTCCCGCCATCAAGCAACCGTAATTTATAGCATTGGCTGCAGTTATTTCGCTTGGCGGTGATATCGGTCCGTCGTCCCCTTGATATATGTATGGTAGACGCAAAATCCAATATGCACTCTGTGTTAATTTTGGCGGATTTGGCAAGCCCATACTAAAAATGTACTCTCGTTCTCCAGTACGTACCTAGGAATGTGAAGAACAACTTGCTATAACAATCATAATTGAGAAAAAACATCATCACGTACCTTCGGGTCGAGCATAACATTAACCGGAGCCTTTGGTGTTACCACGTGAACTCGCATCAATTGCCCTATATCTGCCTTATGTGATCGTGAAGGGCACGGAAAATACAAAGGCATATTGTTATAGACTATTTTGCTGCCACTATCCCGCATTATACCTTAAAAGAATAAAAATATGTATATATATATCCAATATACATATATATTATGTACACTAATTACCTGAACCACCTCGTAAAACCTTATCCGCTGAACTCATCATAAATCTATGGCCCCGTGGGCATTCATATTCGCAGCCAACAAATATCTTTAAAATGAATACTTCACCCATTTTTCGTAGGCGTGAATTTTCATAAGCCCAAGAAGCAGAATGCTCCAGACGCACATGTACATCCCAAGGTAGCAGAAAATTAGCACCCGAGAGAAAGCCACTTTGAAAATGTTCAAGTAAACCGGTGCTATGGCTATAAACAGAACTGGGGCCAACACAAGCTAACGACCAGCTAGGAAAGCGAGGTAATAAGCCGAGTGGTGACTCCGTATGGACCATGCCTGGCAAATATTCAGTGGTAGATGGCTGCCGATAAATACTACGTTCTTTCTCGTCTGCTTTTATATCGTTTTTATCTTTTACTTGTATAACTAATTCATTCATCGATTCTTCAGAACTTTGCCCATCTACGTCAGCAGTGATTTTACACAATTCATCAGAGGTGACCAAACTTAAATTTGTATGCGTCCCTTGTGAAGCAGTAAGTGGCTGAGAACACTCATCTGAAGCAAATGAATTAGCAGAACGCATATTACGACGGTCCACTAAATCAATGGAATCAATTATGGAAAGTTTTGGAAATGCCTGTTCAAACTCAGCTGCTCTGTATGAATTTATATACAGATATGTTTTTAGTATGGAAACATAAATAATTGCTATTTACAGACCTGTAGTCATTGATAGAAGGTTCAAAAACTGGAAAGTGAACTTTTTTCACTTTGGCACATAGGCTACAATTGTTTGCCATGTATTCGTAGAATTCATAGTTTGCGTGTCTTATCGTGTAAGGATCTTCCCTTCTTCCTTGCGTTCGCCCGCAATTACAAGTTGAGATGAATACGTGCCCGCTACTATGCTCTGAGGGTTCTGTAACCATATGTTTGGGCAGTATACAGGGATTTCCGCGTAGGCTCAGTATTTCACATTGTTGTTTACCATTTCTCCAGCACCGTTCACACATTTCACGTAGTTTATTCTCGTTGATTGTTTTTTGGGTACCTCGCGCATATTTCATATACAAAGAAACCGCTTCCTCAACCTGCAAGCAAATTCAATTATTTTCACGTTGGCCATGCACACGGGGTTTCAACTTACCAACTTTTTATGCACTGTGCTGCTGTAGTGTGTGAGTGTGGGATTATTATACATAGCAAAAGCTTTTTGCAAGCCCGTATCACAGCAAGCATTAAAGAATCTGAAATGTTTGCAAGATAAGCCTTAAAAACATCAATAACTCATATGCAAATAATATAGATTACTCATCATCAATGTCCATTATTTTGTTGAAATTCTCTAAATAAGCTTTCTAAAAAAAATAGAAATAGCAAATCATTTGATCATTGAGTAGAATACCGATATTTTCTTATTTACATAATCTCCATCGTTCGCTTCAAATTTAGGATTATCTGGATTTTCAATAAAAATTCTATGCAACAAATTAAATGTGTCGTACCAGGCTTTAGCAGGGAGTATCTAAAATATAAATGATTTTAATTACTTCATGCCGATTCTAATATATAATTTTAACATACCACAAAGTGATTTTTGCCTTTAAACTTTGTCGAGCTATCATCAAAACCCATTTCCAGAGCCTCATTGACATGGTCCATTAATAAATCCATAAAATTACGTTTTTTGAGAAAAGTTTCTTCGGCAGACGAGTGAACACGTTCTAGATTACATTGCGTCAACGGTTTACCAAAACCCTAAAATGGCAGAGTATGTGTAAAGTACGAAGGGGAATGCGAATATGCGAAACAATTTCATTACTTTGAAAGGTGTCAAATCTTCGAGATCATCTTCATCGTCTTCCTTAAAGCTGTTTTTCTCTAAAAAGTCTTGTAGCAACGATATTGATTTCAGCAAAGGGTCTTCACGCATCTTGATATCAGTGTTATAATAAACAAAGCGTTTATTGCTCGGTATAGAGAAAAGTGACATTGCGCTGTGAATTAAAAATAGCTTAATAAAAATTGTATTCTATTTCTTTTTTTTTTTAAGAACGAACCTGTTGTTTGTAATAATGAATTCATTACGTAACATTTTGTATATGCTATCCTCCACCTCAAACTCCAGTTTTGAAATACATTCACTTGTTTTTTCTAAAAACGATAATCTCATAAATTAAATGAACATTTTTAAAATACGTTTCGTTTATTTCACCATATCCGTCTGGGTAGTTTTCAAAGAGAAATAATATTCGTGGCGAACATAAACGTGCAGATTTGCCCAAAAATGTTCCAGTACTTGAATTTTTGACCAGCTTTGGTAAAAACTTCAATATGTACTTATCTCTATTCAAATAAAAAAAAAATGTATTCAATTTAATAAAAAGATTTTGCAATAATATTGAATCTATACACACCTTACAATTTTAAGTGCTCTAAATATCATTAACAAAGAAGCATCGAATGTGACACTAAGCTCAACAAAAACGATTATGTGACAAACCTGTGTCGCAAATAGCAACATGCGCGCAAAGCGGTTGCGCACACGCTGGTTGAATAACAAAAAATGTCCATACGTATTTTGAGCTAACTCTTCCTCAAGCATCTTTTGCATACATGCCACATCAAAAGTTGTTTGAAAGTGTAAAAACAAAATCGATTTCTTACGATTATAGTAGAATTGAATAGTGCTCTAATTAAGAAATTCGGAAAATTAATTAACATATTTAAAAAAGCCAAAGATATTGCCCTACCTCTTGCGGCTCATGCTCCAGCATACTTGGATCACTATCCAACACACCAATAGCTACCATTTTATTGCAATCTGAAAATGCTGACTTTCCTATTACTCCAACTACTACCAGTTTTTCCTCATTGTGAAAGAGCTGATCCCTGGATAATGAATTTTTATACATATTATTGGTATGTATTCATGTTAATATATACACAAAGGAGCTTACGCTAGCTCTGTGGGAATATCTGGAAACGTCCAACTTTGATACTCAGGCATTTCAATTTAACTACTCTGAAATTTGTTAATTATTTGATTTGATGTTTTATTTACAAGTTTTCGTGTATTTAACCGTTTACAACTGTTTGTTGATTGTCATATACAGCTGTTAAACTACAATTTACCATAGGTCTGTTTGCTATGCTACTTACTTGTACAAATTACTCGTTTGAACTAAATAAATATTGTAATTACGTTAGAGCTTGTTTGCTTAACTTTTCATGCAGAGATATAACGTATGCAATTTTATTACCTTTCAATAACAAATAAGAAACTTTAAGATTTAGGAGTAATTGAAATTAGATTACTAATTCTCATGTACAATTCTTAAATTTCGCAGTAAATAAGCAAATAAGAATATATTATAATAAGGTTTTGCATATGCTATTGCCTAGTCGTCGTGGATAAGTCGTGACTCGGCGGAGGAGTTTTTATAACTGGGTCGATACTTTAGCCTTGGTAAAACCGTATAATGGATTTTGGGTGATTAACATCTCTGTAAAAATCATTTAAAAAAGTTCTCGATAAATCATCATCGAACTAGTTTTGGTAGAAGAATGATCGACTAATTCTCGTCAAAGTGGTTATCGGTTTAACTTTTGTCTCACTTTCTCGTGTGTATTTTGGCAAAAATATTGTTTTGTGTTGTTGTTTTAACAAAAAAGTGATTTTTTTCATTAACTGGGATATAATTAAAACAACGTAATAATTAAAATCAACAGACAATATGGGATGTGATGGAGGCACAATACCGCGAAGGGATGAACTGGTACGGACGGCCAAGAAGCCTGAACAGGTAAAGTAAAACATTTTTATTTCTACAAAATGTGTAATATTTTTTTTTTCTTAACATCCTATAGAAAGACAAGGACGCTGAAAGGGAATTTCGATGGCTTCACTGTGCTCTCACTCAGCAACGGTTGCAAGAACCAATAGTTATGTGCGGTCTTGGTCGTTTGTATTCAAAACAAGGGGTAATAGAACAGTTGTTGGAAAAGGAAAAGATGCCCGACTCCGTGAAACATATTCGCAGTCTGAAAGATATGAAAACATTAAATTTAACACCAAACCCAGTTTTTGCAGACAAAGACAAAACCGAAGGGCTACTGGACAACCGTCACGCCCCATACATTTGTAAGTTAACAGGCCTGGAAATGTCGGGAAAGTTCCGATTCGTGGCTTTGTGGTCTTGTGGCTGCGTAATCTCTGAGCGCGCTCAGAAACAAATCAAACGTGATGATAACGGCGGTAGTACATGTCCATTGTGCTTAACGCCCTTTGCCATTGAGGATGTAGTGGTGCTTAACGCTAGCGAAGAAGAATTAGAATTGATGCAAGCAAAAATGGAAATGCGAAATACAAAACGGAAGGCAGTTAAAAAGCTTAAAAAAGAAGAAAAGACTCAAACAACTGCAAATATTGGTAGTTCTGCAAAGCAGAAATCAAATATTGTTGCTATAAAAGAAGAAATAGTTTGCGATAATTCCGTTGTAAAGGAGAGTGTAGAAAAGAAAGAAAAACCAGCACCAGAAGCACCCTCCACCAGCAAAGCCGCTGCTGGTGAGCAAAAAATGAAATTAGTTGCTAACATGAAGCGGTCGTCTGCGGCTGAAGACGCTTTGGAAGATCCAGAATTGAAACGCTTAAAAAACAACTACAGTGTTGCAAAAGATCCCAAAGCAAGTGATGTTTTCAAATCCTTGTTTACCACACACAAAAGTGAGAAAGAACAATCTCGCGCACATTGGGTCACTTACAATCCTTTCTACAATTAATTCTACTCTTTAAAATATAGGTTTATCTAGGCAGTTTTATTTAAAAATTGTAATAAAACTATTCATCTTTCTTTTAAGCAAACGTTTACCTTAATGTGTTTAGCTTTTAAGCAAAAAATGAAAAAAAAAAAATATACAAACAATACTGAATTGCTACAGGTAAAAAATGTCATCAAATCTATACATATATATGCATTAGAACTGGCATACTGCTCAAAATATTTTTGCAGTATAGCATGTTCAACATAAAAGTAAAATTGCATCAAACAGGTCTATTATACTGGTACTCAGACGGTAGTTTGCCTTATAAATATATTTTTTTGCACGAAGTTTATGGGTTTATTCTTCCGTTTCTACTTCTTCCTCAGCGCCATAATCGTCGAAAGCATCTGGATCGAATTCCTGCTTAATTATTTCCAAACACTCCATATGTCGATTATTTTCAAATTCTTCATTCGTTTTAATACTAACATATTTCTCATCGTTGACATTTGCTTCAACATCTCCTTCCTTAATGTCTACATCCATGGCCATCTGTGGCAATAATCCGCTATTGGCGGAGCGTAACATCAATTGCAGTTGATGCATATATTGCAGCTCTTGCACACGACGTTCTTCTTCGCTCACATTATCTGAAGGAATTTGCATTTGTGAAGCACCGCCTATGCTATTATTAAGCAATACAGAGTGCTTTTGAGTTACATGTAAAGCTAATAAGCTCACGCTCTTATGCAGTGCTCCACACACTATACAAACCAATGTTTCTTGCGAAGGCAACGTATCAGTTGCTATACTAGGCATCCCGTTGATCTCATTTGATGCCGTATTATTTTTTTCAGTATTAAGATGAGCCTGTATGTGTTTGTTTAAATATGCTTGTTGGCTATAAGATTTGCCGCATATATGGCATGGGAACGATTTTTCACCCGTATGAATTTTCATGTGAACACTTAAGCTCGATGCCTGCGTAAAAGCTTTGTCACAGAATTTGCATTGGAACGGCCGCTCGCCAGTATGAATGCGCATGTGTATGCCAAGACTACCGGATTGCGTGAAAGAACGATCACAAATTGAACAAGTGAAGGGCTTTTCGCCCATATGGCACTTCATATGTTGTACCAGCTCAGAGGATGTGCGAAACGCTTCAAGACAAATGGAACATTGATAAACAAGCTGTTGAGTGTGCATTTGTAGATGTTTCTCGAGTAAGTCTTCTTGTTTAAACGATTTGTCGCATTCGGGACAGTTAAAAATTTCAGCATCATCATGCGATTTTAAATGTAACACTAGAGAGCTGGAGTTTATAAAACCTGTAAATGTAGTTTCATTAATTTATATGTTGTTAAAGACATAAAATAAGAAAAATACCTTTATCGCATAAATGGCATTGATGTGGTTTCTTTATGGAGTGAGATCTGATATGTACCATAAGGCTACTAGACTGCGTAAAAGCCTATGTAAAATTGGATATAGTAAGTTGTTATTACTCAATCGCCACATAATTCTTCCCATTGGACTCACCTTTGGGCACAGTTCACATTTATATGGCTTCTCCCCACTGTGTATCCTAATGTGAGTATTCAAACTGCCGATGTGGGTAAATGTCTTTTCACAGATAGCACATTGGAAAGGCTTGTTTGTAATGTGGCAGCGCACGTGCTTGGAGAGGTCGCCAGCGTTTTGAAAAGACGCGTCACAGTGGGCGCATTGAAAGCATTTCTGTTCTCCACTTGTTAAGGCAGCCAGTTGTGCATTCTGTGCAGCGCTACGTCTACCTCTACCTGGCTTGTACACTGCCGGCACGTTATTCATATGAACTGGCGGAGCTTGTGTCGCGTTATCAACGTCTGCCGCCTTAGTATTAATTAGTATAATCGATGTAGACTCACGCGGGTCAGCAGTCTTTAATTTGATCATTGGAAAATCAGATTCAGTGGGAGAACTTAAAGAGCTGGATGAATCATCCCCAACCACCTCTTCGTAAACGGCTGTTGGCACAGTATTAATGCTTACTGTGGTCATTCTTGTGTTTTCCTCTTCATCTTGGCTATTACAATTGTTCGATTTAGGATTTATGGTAGGAGAATTAGACGCGCTGACAGTGGACGAACTATCGCTTGAGCTTTGAGACGAGCTGCTGGATGTATCATCATCCGAATCCGAATCACTATCTGAATCATCGTCGTCATCGCCACCCATATCAACTATCTCACAAACAGGCTCAAGTACCCAACTGTAATCTTGATCGTCATCTTCAGATGCGGTTTTGTCCTCTTCTTTGGATTCTAGTGGTTGGGGATGTTGGCTGTTCATGTGCTGATAAAGTATATAAGGATTAACGAAGAATGCAGGGCAGCACATACAATGAAACGTTAAATCAGGTGGTGGCGGAAACTGATCGGTATTTGTTGAAGGTATAGCCGACACGGATAAATCCTTTAAGGCAGGTATTATAGGCGTTATGGTTAGTGGAAGATCCATGTTTAACTGAACAGACATTGTAATGTTGTCAATGGAATATGATTGTATATGTATAAGTATGTCGTTATATAAGGCTAAAAGAAAATACACAATTTACTATGAATTTATGTCCGTATACATATTCCGTATTTATAATTGAAGTTTTTTTTTTATTATATTCCGATCACAAACCTGCTCTTTGAATCGATAGTCTTTAACAAGCACTTTCCAGAAATTTATGTTTTAATCAGTTGATTTTAACTTGGTGTTTGAGCTCTACTCCATTAAAGGACGATTTTATCCTTAATTCATCACCTCTATTTCCTCTGCATAAATAAAAAATTTTCATTCAGAGTCTTCTAAAAGTTATATTCCGCGCCTCACTTAATTATTTCTCAAAACCGACTTTTACTTCAATAATACTTGATGCAGCGTTTACTTTAATATTGTAAAAAATTTGCAGAGAAAGGATAATTTTTTGTTGTTATCCATAGTTGTTTCCTTTGAGTTTTGGCCTTAGCCAAGCGTTGCATGTCCAAGTGCACGCCGCCATTGTTTATAGCTGTGTTCGTGTACTTTCGCAGTCCAAAAGTTGCCACTTGAGACAAATATGACGAAGAGTACAAGGCGAATTGAAAAGGGCAAATTATTTAATGTGGGAAAATGTATGTTCAGACAGTTCAAAACAGATTTTCAATCGAATTGGTGCGTGACCTTTTGAATTAGACGTCTGATATGAATATATAAAGTTGCATGAAGTTTGCCTCTTAAGAAACGCCGCTGCAAACGCAATGTTAAAAGTTGGCCTACTTATATTTCTTTCGATTTCTGTGTGTAGTCATTCTTTATCAAAATAACTTCGTTATCAGAACAATTTGTAAAGTATAATTTGTAACTTAAAGCTTTTGTTAATAAAATTGAATTCATCTTTTGCTTAGGCCATTCTATTGTGCCCGAATAATGTAACAGATGAAAAGAAGAAGACAATCAGTAAATTTTGACCGGTATTTATTTTATAGAAGATTTGTGAGTGATTGGTATAGACTTTTTGGGTTTTATTAAAATGTCGCAAAGTCCGTTCAGTGCATCTAATCGGGTCCCAATTCAAGTGAAACCACAAACGCCTAAAACATTACTATCACAACAAAACACAAGTCAGAATGACCTCTCAATCTCGTTGTTACCACAAGAAGTATCGCGTATTCTGGGCCGACAACAACGCCAGTTGTCGCATAATGAATCGAGCGCATTTTTTGATAACTTCAATTTGACTGTTGGCGATGGAATGACCGTCAGTGATCGCTCTGTTTTAGGTGAAACCCAGCATATGTCTTCGGTGAAGGAAAAAACAGATTTGTTGTTTCCTCAATTTTTGGAAGTCTTGCAGGGACGTAACAACGACTCTGAAGTTTTTGATACCATACAAGATTTAATACAGACTTGTACTGGCGTCGCCGATGAATTGCAAAGAACGCAGTTACAACTTGCCCCCACATCCAAAGGTCAAATTAAAAGTTATATGTGGTTAGAACAAGAAATAAAAACTTGGAAGTTGCTATATGCCTTATACAAAGATCGTGTAATGATACAAGCTGAAGGTGGCGATATTGATTGTGAGATGCCGCCTCTGGGAGGTTCTGAAAAAGAAGTTATCGCACAATTATATGCATGTACGTATCATAACATTAAAATTTTGATATGAAAAAATGACTATTCTTTTTTTTTAATAGGCAATTCTACACTACGAGAGTACCAATTAATAGTCGATTGGCTTGAAGCTTGTTATGAGAGAAGCGATTCACAACCTCAAGTGGGTCATATTACAAACCGTGCAGTTGGTTGGGAAAATACACTATTTCAATTACAAAACCGTCGCGAAGTAGCTTTTGGCACTGGTGTTGAAATCGTTAAATCACTAGACCCAGATGCTCCTATTCGAGAACGACGCCCACTTCATGCTCTGGATGAAGAGGATAATATGCGCTTGTCGCAGAGTATTTTTACAGAAATTCGACAAGGACGCATTGATGAAGCTATGACGCTTTGCAAATACAGTGGTCAAACATGGCGTGCAGCTATACTAGAAGGTTGGCGTTTACATGAAGATCCTAATTATGAAACGCAGGTAAATGCGCGAGAGAAACTGCCCATTGAAGGTAATCCCCGCCGTGATATATGGAAAAAATGTGCCTGGCTTATGGCTGATTCCAAAAAGTTTGATGAATATACCCGCGCTATAGCTGGAGCTTTTTGCGGTCATCTTGAATCCTTAAAAGCTCTTTTGAACGGTTCGTGGGAGGATCTTTTATGGGCATATCTTAAAGTACAAATTGATATACGTGTAGAAAGTGAAATACGAGCTTGTTGTATGAAGACTTACCATCAGTTGACAGACGGTTATTGGAATTCAAAAATGTCATTAGAGCAAATATTTGAAGAACTCGCAGTCTCTAACGATGCAGCTGTACGAGATTATGCCTACAGTAAAATAGGAATAATACAAAAATATTTGATATTGGACAACATCGGTGAATTGTTGCAGAACATGCGTCGTTGGATTGAAGAGTCTGATAATGTCAATGCGTCAAAAGAAAATATCTCTCCCCATCTTTTACGTTTCCTTACACATATTGTGCTTTTCATGCGTCAAATTGGTCGAGTCGATAAAGAGGAAACTGCAGATAGCATTGTTGCTGCTTATGTTGAATCATTGATAGAACGAGGAGACGCACAATTAGTTGCATTTTACACGGCCGCGTTACCTGTCAAGGTACAAATATTATTGTACTCTAAGTTCCTTGAGCAGGTCAAAGAGTCTTCAGCTCGCTATGCAGCCCTTACGGAGGCTATTAATGCTGGTCTCGATATAGAGAATATAACACGCCATACAGTAAATACCATACGACAACGAATGCCAGGGGATGTAGATGAAGCCAAGCATGGCAAACTTCAGGTTGGAGAAATTTCAACATTCGATCAACAAAAAATTAGTGCTTTAGAGTGGCTTACATTTTTGCCAACACAACGCGGAGATCTGTTATGGCAAGCTAACGCGATGATACGCACATTCCTGGGTGAAAACAAATTAGAATGTGTGCGCGCCGTTTATGAACTTGTGCCATCAGATTCTCTCTCGCAAATTATAAATATTTTTGGAACGAAAGATAATTTGCCGTGTCGCGAAGAATGTAGCGTTAAGGAATATCTTAGTTATAAAGTCTACTTAGCGGCAATCGATGGTTTTAATGACTGGTCACGCCTATTGCATAACAGACCAAAAGAACCACAGTTAGTGACAGCAGGTGCAAATTTTACCGAACGTATTGCATCAGAGCATAAAGAACAAGTATATAGAGCAGAATTGAAACGCTGGGAATCGAATCTAGAGGAACAAACAAAATGTAAGCGCGACAAATTCTTACTTTTATGATTTTATTTAATTTATTCCTCAATTTCTTTTACTAGTAACACGCGATGCATTATTCAATATATTACTATTTCCCGAAAAGGGTTGGTTAATTGATCCCGACACCTTAAAAGATCCAGCTAATATAAGTGAGATGGACTGGGATAATCGTCAAATACAGTTAGAGAAGCTACGCAGCATTTGTATACCAGAAGTAGTGTTACTTTTACACAAAGTTCTCCACTCTTCGGGCGACTATCAGGGTTGTGTAAAGCTGTCGGAGGAGATTGCCACGGAAAATCGACAACTTTATAAAGTGTACACGAAACATAAGTTGGCCGAGTTGCTTTCGAAAATTGCCGAATCTTCATTGGAGTTATTAAACAAAAAGTTGGACCCATGGGGCTATACGACAACTCTTTAAACATTTCAAGTGTGTGTGATTAAATTATAAATAAATTAAATTAATCACAACCAACATTTTTCACATATACTGGTGGTAATCTCATAAACTCACTCTTATATAGGTGATGTTGTGGGTAAAAAAAGGCATTTATTTATTTTTTTTTTGGCGTCACCATTTCTTAAAAAAAGCAAATTCTTAACACACCAATATAAACAAAAAATAATTTAAAAAATGAAAATTTTGTAAAGAAATAAATATATTATATAAAAGTAAATTGTTTTCCTAAAAAAAGCAACGTTTTGTAGTTTATTTTTTTGCTCCTATGAAAGAAGGTGAAGTAAGTAAATCGCTTTCTCTTTAGCTAGACTAGGATTAATTATTTCTTCCAATGCTAAATAATTTGCCAAGAAATCACAAATATTGAAATTAACACCAAATAGAGCAGCAGCTGAAATAAAATTAGGTAGGTACAAGAACACAGAGAGAGTGTAACTGGGTACACCCTGCGGGTTAGGGGCTCAAGAATTTACCCGCGGTGAGGCATGCCTGTCGTAAGAGGCGACTAAAATCCAATATTTCCCGTGACAGTCGGGTCTTTATACCGGAACGACCCGGATTTTTATCCGGCCAAGGACTGTCACTCCCGCAACATTCCCCAAAAAGTACTTTGGGGAATAATTTTGCGGTTACAAAAACAACAACAGTGGAACTGGGTCAGCTCAAAGCGCTTAAAGAGCTTAGCGGCAAATACGTATCTTTTATAAATTTTTGAAAAAGTGAATTTAACGGTATTTTTATACGAAATTGCCTTCCATAGATGACTGTAATATTAGTTACTTACATGACGGTTATGCCAGGAGAATATTCAGAGACTTATTTAGTATATGTCTGTACTTACTTTGTCTTATTAAATTTCATAAATAAATTTCTACGTTTTTATTTGACAAAGCATTTCAAGTTTAATTTTTCAAGTTTCATTTAAATTATAAATTTTCTTCCTTATGACATATCTTATTAAATATTCGTTTTGCTTATGCTCGTTATGATTAGTACATCTCTATGTATGTATGTATGTATGTATGTATGCATTTAAGAGTACATGAATAGTTTATAATGAGCTTTTTTTTACATAATTCTACAATTTTTTATGTATGTATGTATGTGTATTATGAATATTATAAGAACTGTTATTCAATGACAAGAGTTATTTCAGGTTATGAAAGAAGAGTGCCAAAATTAATATTGAAATAATTAATTGTACTAAAACATGTTCTTAGGTTCTTTTCAGCTACAAACTTTGCTTATAATATTTTTTATTGGTATGTATGTGTGTATGTATGTTGAATAGCTTTTCCAGTAAGTATAAGCAAAAAGTAGTAATTTTTTTTTTTTTAGAAAATATGTGATACTGATAAATGACGTTACATATCTGCGATGTGTATGTATTGTATATTGCAAAATAATTTAATGTGTTATAAAAAAATGTAAAAAGAAATTGAGGTGCATATAAAAATAATTTTAGATCGCAAATTGTAGATAATTATTCAAAGAAAAATATACATATGAGGAGCTGCTTCACCCGAGTGGATTTTTCGTACATTTTTTAACGCTTCACGAAATTAATATTTTCGAATTATTGTTTTTGAAGTTGTTGTTGTTTTTTTTTTTAAATCTCAGAGTGCAGTCATTGCTGTTACATTTGTGATCTAACTATTTTTTTTTTTGGTCTATAGTCAAAAATCAGATTTCTGTTCTTCTGACTAATTAGTAATTTTTGGTCTTTAAGTAAAAAATTCGTTTGCTTCATCTCAATCGGATACAATACGTAAGTACGAAAAATGTTGGAAATAAAAAAACATTAAATTTCTTTAAAACTCATTCATTGGACTACCTCTGCCGTTATGACACCAATCATAAATGAATACGAAAATATTTAATGAATTATGAAAAATAAAATTAACGAACACATATTTTTTGAATCATTCTTGAGACTACCAAAAAAATATTGTGACCCGTAAAATGTATAATTTAGTTTACACTTACTCCTTGCAGGCATCTACTTTAACATTTGTAACTTTCAATTTTAAATTTTTCACTTTTTATGTTACTGAATTTAAAGTTTCAAATATTTTCATTTTCTGTATTATTATAACTTTCACTTTCAAACAAACAAGAAATTTTAAACAAATTTTATTAAAGTAAAGAAAATATTTATAGTTTGTGTTTTAATATAACAATATATATAGAATCATTTAACTATACACCTTAACATTTCTGTTGATTATTCAAAAAATTATATTAATCAAATCTGCATCGTAATGATAAATTGCACGTTAAGCATAACATTTCGTTAAAGCAATTAAGAAAATAAATTTTATTTCGTTTTTATCCGAAACGAAGAGCTGTCGTTAATGTTAAGTCCTTAACAGATAATGTTAAACGCTAACATTGAAGTGTGCTGTTAAGTCATAGCGGGCAGCCATTTTAAAGTTAACGTCCACGTTGAGTTTGTGCGGCGTCAACATTAAAAGAATTCATTTCGTTTCGATAAGTTTATTTTTCATATTAACAAAACAAAATAGCAACACATCGTTAGTTGAGCATCTCTGTTATGAACTATTTGAAGAAATTATTATTTTTTTCTGTTAAAAAGAAGGAACAAAAGGATTAAACTACTAGTGTGCTCGGCGAGGTAGTAGACAATAATAATTATTAACTGAATCCTGTTGGTTGAAATCTGAGAAAAATTTCTCTCTTTGGGAGAGTAAAGTATCTTACTTTCGCAACTTCCTTACTGGCTAGATCTTACTGACATCCATCAGAGAATGTAAACAGAGAATGTAAATACAATTATTAAATTAAATTAAAACATTCTCTGCATCCATCATCATTTCGGGCAGCACTAACACAAATGCACATGTGTTTTTTTGTCTATCTTTCTCTTCTGAGTACACACAAATTGAAGAAGAATCTAGTTGAACGGATTATCCGATTTTCTTTGTTCTTATTTTCGAGTAGAACGCCATTTTTTATCGTTTTCTCCGCAGCAGATAGAAGTGAAAAATAGTGAAATATATATGATGAGGATCCTGTACAAGCTGTGTTGATAATATATTTTCAATTAATTAATTACTTCCTTTTTCATACATCTTTACATTGTTTTTCTTTAAGGGTAATCCATATTGTACGGTAAATTCTGTTAATGGAGCAGGTTGAGTAGAATGGACGCTGCTCACAGCACATCTCAAAAATATTCAACAAAACTTTGCGATGTACAACTGCATTAAGATATATATCTAACATGATGATTCAAAAACTACTTTTTTATTTTACTTAGATGTCTTTATACTTCAAAGGAGCTGCGTTTAAGACCGAGGCGTTTGTGGAGCTGAGGAGTTGCGTCACTATTAAGGACTTCTGTATATGCGGTTTTGCTTATAATATTTTGCAAATTTTTGAAAACGAATTTATTGTTGTATTTTTATTTCTTTTGTGTGCTATGTTAACCATATATGTACATGATTTATGTTAAATATTGAAATAAAGACTGTACTCTTAATAATGTTTGTATGTATATGTATGTTATATGTAGGGAAAATTTTTGTCAAAGCTAATTTCCTTCGACATCAACGCTGTCGCTCTTATGTGTTCGGCTTGTCCGACAAGAATGACAAAAATGCACAAGTAAACGAAGGCAGAATGACGTACACGTATACAAATGTAAACATCACGTTTGTCATTTCGGCCTTGAGAAAGTGATAGGAAAATCGTTCTACGAGCTAATGACATGTACCGTCATGCATTCTTGACATATGTTGGCTCAAATGATCGGAAGCCTTCTTGCAGGGATTTTTTACCGAACAGAGCTTTGCCGAAAATCGTAGAAACATAAAACATAAAACAACAACAAATTGGTTGGTAGAAGTTATCGCCGCCTTTACTTGACCTTTTCTCATCAGATTTCGTTCCAGACAACTTAGTCTAAATGGGACTCAAATTTAAAGTAACGGTTAATTTTGGCATTCCTTATTTGAATCGTTAAGTTTTAGACTCTTAAGGCGTGGTAAAGAATTAAGACTGCTTACCCAACATTTTATCTGATTTATGCTCACTTGATTTTCGCATTAATGCACACAGAAAGTCTTGTATCTAAATTCGCAACCATGACTTGGAAAATTAAATATTTGTTAATAAATGTTATGTATATAAATATATATGTACATATATAATTGGTGATTTATAACCGCTGAGGCGACTTTCCGCCGGGCTCCTTCTCCACTTTGTGTAATGCGTTTTGATGTCTGCCAACAAAACCTACAGCTTTTACTTAGCTGTCTCCGAATTACCGCGGCGGTCTTCAGAATGGCAGTACGCAAAGCTAACCACGCAGCTTTTGAGATATTAATCAAATAGAAATTTAAATCGAGTTATTGTTATTCGTTTGATATTAAAACAGAATATGATCGAAAAATCGATTAGTCGATTAATAATTTTTAGGCTTTGTAATTCATCATCAGAGCACGTATATTAAAGAGAATGACCGGGGGCGTGCCGATTGCCATTTGTTCCACCTACGGGATTGCAAAGAGATTATTTCACCTATATACGTTATTAGTAAGAGACTATTTCACCTCTAGTTAACAGCGAACTACCAGAAACTGGCAAATTATTTACAGAAGAATGATATTTGGGAGACAATTATTTTGTTAATTTATTATTATCTTGCTCAGAAACGTTGACAAACAGTGTAAATTTCTGGCGGTAGTGGTGAAATAGTCTCTCATTTCTTTCGCCGATGTTGGCAGTTCGCACGCCGTCCGCAATCGGTCCTTCTCGTTATTTTACGTACTCTGTTGATTATTGCTCGAATAATAATGGCAGATTAAATAAAAAAATCGAACGAACAAATGAATTGAGCAAGGGAAAAGGTTCTTTAGCCATGTGAAAAAAATATGTTAGTTAAATACGCGTTCTCTTTATAGCGGCTTACTTTTCAATAAAAAATTTACGTTTTTCTCATTGAATCATCTGCGCTCACCTACAAGGATCTGACATTCTCGAACGTTTATTCTGCATTTATCATAAGTTTTGTGTCAAAAATGAGTTATAAGCTGAAGTAGTTGGTGAATATCATTACATTCAATTTTCGAGTATAAAGCTTACATACTTAATATTTTTAATTTTTTCACTAAAGCCGCTCAAATATTTCACAGATTTAAATCGTTAAAAATCTCAATTTACTCCTTGACGTACTTTTTAATTTCATTTTATTACACAATTATTATTCTTAATTAATTTCATATGCATTCTTTTATATACGAGTACATACATACAACATTTGGCAGTGATCCTGAGCTTTCTTATATATTTTGGTGATCAACTTTACTTTACAAATTCACATTCACCCATTAGCTTTACATATACATACATATGTAATCGATACGTTATTACTGAAATTATGTATTATATAATACATTACATAAAATATTTAAAGAAATTGTTTCAAGGGAAAAAGTAATTTAACTTTCATATGTGAGTTGATTTTTCAAGTGGAAATTACGAAACTTGGTTAAAAAGTGGTGTTGGGTTTTTTAAAAATTATTTTACTTATGGAAAATTAGGGGAGTACAGTATTTATTTACCTCAAAAGTGATGGTTTTTAAAAACGCCGGTTCCAAAGGAAACAAATATTTTTGAAAATACGATAGGGGGATTTACAGAAGTTCGATCAGTTGGTGACTTTCAATTTGTTTGTTTTCTTCAAACTAAAAATACCAAATTCTTTGCAGTTATTTTATTAGTCTTCCTTTCAAATTTTAGAACGACCGGCTAAGATGGAGACGAGAAAACGCAAGATAGCTAAGCATAAGTCAGACGAAATTCCACCATCAACGCAAACAGAAATTCATGTGATTCTCTTCAGGTTTCGGCGTTATTTCCGACCAATTCAAATATTTGCGTATGGAACGATTGCAACGTCTTTAAAAGACTATTTCTAAGTGATTCCCATGATTCCAAACCGAACATTTTTCCGTAGAGGAGGAGCTACGAGAAGGTCAACCGAAATCTTCCACTGATGACGTCACTCTAGCTCTGGTGAAGTCTAAAATTGAAAAAGCCCTACGACTAACAAAGCAAATGATTGCTAATGAATTGGGCTTGAATGCCATGGCTACATCGCGAATATTACGCAATTATCTGAGATACACGCAGAAATTTGCTCGATGAGTAACACGCACTTTAAATAAGGCCCAAAAAGAGGCTCGATTGCATTTTGCTAAATTTTTCCTAAACAAATTCGAAAATGGTCAGTCTAGCAACTTTTGTAAAGTCGTTACTGCTGACGAGTCTTTGTTCAATAAGTACGTTCCAGAAACCAAACAGCGGTTCATGGTATGGAACCCAACAGGAGCAAGCCCACCCGTAAAATCTAAGCAACACAAATCAGCAGCAAAAGTAGTGATGTCAGTTTAAACCACTCAACCCAAAATCGTAGCTGCTATTCCACTGGAAAAGGGACAGACGGTAACTGCAAAATGGTACACCGAAGCGTGCTTACCAAAAGTTTTCAAAATAGTTTTGGAAAACATGAATAAAGAGTATTTGTGGCGCTACTTTTTACATCACTCCACACTGCTGAAATAATGAGTAATTTTATTGCGATCTCTGGGATGGAAGAAATACGTCTAGCACCATATTCCCCGGGTATAGCAACATGCAATTTCTGGTTATTTGCAAAAATTCAAAAGAATTTAAAAGGAAACGAGAAGATATTAATAAATGCGATTCCTGCTGAACTTGATAAACTTGAAAAGCAGGATTTTGAAAATAGTTTTGAGAAGTGGATCTATAAGCTTAAGAAATGCATGGAAATCTATGGTGATTATGTGGAGAAGATAAGAAGAACAAAGATTACGAATAAATACAGAAATATGTTTTTTTTTGTCCTGGTCAACTTGCCGAACTTTTGTTGAGCCCCTCCTCTTTTAACGTTTTTAATATATATTTGTAGCAATGAATTGCATTAATTTACACAAAGTGGGAGATTTCAATATAATTAATAGTTTGTAAAAATTAAGAATGAATGCGAGAAGTGATAATAATGAAAAATGTGATGGTTATGAGAATTCCAAGTTTTCGACAGAGAATATGAATATTTTTTAAACGTGTTTTGTGTATTGTTTTCGTTACACATTTTATTTATAATTGTTTTGTCATACATTTTATTATCTTATCCTGACTATGTGTACTTAATTAACTATGTATTGATAATTGCATTTTAATGAATATTTTTTGGTTACTTTAAACGCGTCTTAATATCTTTGTGTTGATTTTATTTTTTTTATTTTTTATTAAATATCTGCTTATAAGCTAATTCTGTGTATATTGAATGTATGTTTATTTGCGTCATGGTATAAAATTGTATTTAATTTATTTTTTTTATAAACGTACATATGTATGCACTTTTCGTCATACATTAAACTAAATTTGATTATTTTAGAAAACCAAAAACTTTGCTTTGAAAATTAGAAAAAAGCTAAAAAAAAAAAACAAAAAAAAAACACAACAGTTAATTTGTTTTTTTTTTTTATATTAAACTGCACATTACTTCAATTAAATAACTAGTTTCCTTTTGTTTTTTTGGTAAACTAAACTTACAACTTATATTTTTCATCCTTATGTATATATGCATTAATATGAGAGTAATGAAATATTGCGCCGGCGCAAATTATTTACAGTGTCTTTGCACGATCAAGTAAATCACTGATGAATTTCTGTAAATAAAAGAACAATTTAGTAAACACTCTTATTTCGAGAAAAATGTATGTATGTATGTAAGCAACTTACGGATATGTCTGCTTGTGGACGTTTACAGACTGACAGCAGTCGCTAAAAAAAAAAAAAAGAAAATGAAAACAGTTGCAATATTAAAAAAATTTCTTACAAACTGTCTAACATTTTTGATAAAATATTTAATTTAACTTAATATGTGGCAATATTGTGTTTAAAAATATACTTTTTCAAAAATTCAATAGGCCGAACTCAGCATACAAGAGCGCACTTCATTACATAAGCTTCAAAGTAGGAAATTTAAAGTCTGTTTCCGTTTTGAGCTTACAGCTGACAATCAATTTTTACAGGCTTCGCTCGAGATCAATTCTTAACCAGCCAAATCATCCTTCATAGACAGGCATGGTTGGCAATCATTTGGTGCGAGGTTCGAACTATAGATGGTTGCATAAGAGTCTCCCAGCCAAGATCTCGGAGTTTCTGGCTAGTCTTCATCGATGTGTGTGATCTGGCGTTGTGCTGATGAAACACAATTTCTCTTCTGTTAGGCAAAGGCGGGCAGTTCTGAGCGATTGCTTCCTTCAGACTGTTCAATTATAGTAGGGAAGTAGCTTATAGTGGATAATGCCTTACAAATTCCACAAAAGAAAAAAACACAACAAAGTTTCGTTTCAGTTTCGTCAGATGTATCAAAATTTTATAGATTCTATTCATACGATAAGCAATAATGCTGGCGCCAACCCAGAAAATTCATCCAACGACACATACAGTGTGAAGAAAACCGTAAAACACGGTGGAGACGGTGTCATGGTTTGAAGCTGCTGGAATACGAGGTGTGTTTAAAGGGAAAGGTGAATTTTGCTTTCTTTGTTCTGCATCACGAGTTCTTTACTAGCTCACATATCAATGCTTATTCCTGATTTTTTAGCCAAAAACAAAACCAGTAATCATGGCGCAAACAACCGTATTCACTAGATTTGGTTCCCTGTCACTATTCCCAATTCCTAAAACTGAAGAAACCAATGATTACAATGATGAGATCAAGTCAGAATCGAAGAAAGAGCTGATGACCATATCGAAAAGCGCATTTTAGAACTGCTTCGAGGATTTGAAAAAGCGTTAGTACAAGTGTTTAATATCCGAGGGGCATTACTTTGTAGGTGATAAGTATAAATAAGTAATTTTCCGAAAAATTCTAAATTCATCTTTTCACATAACATAAGGAGAAAATACATATAGTTTCATATTTCAAAAGCTAATCTTCCCTATTCGACCATAGCATAAATAACGAAATTGAAATAGGGCTTCAGCAGGATGGAGATCCTGCAAGAGTCCAGGAGGGAGACTCTATATTGTATACTGACTATACAAAGCGACAATAACACCTTTAATATTTTACGGAGTCACATCAGGTCATCTGGTGGCCGATACTTGAAAAGTTTCTTTTGAGAGCAAGTTGGGTAAAGTTCAGACGACGGACCATCTCTACTCTCATTATAGAGGCGCGGATTTTCAATCCCATCAAAGCTCTGGAAACATCCTTTAATTAGATCCCTGTATACTTTTATGTGACTTCATAAGATCTGCATGCCTTAAGGCCAAATGCAACTCAACCATAGAGAAACCGGAGAAGATACGCTCACATACTAAACATCATTCTAAGTAGAAGTGGTATACACTTTATTGTTTTTGAAATTTATTGTTTCATAGAAAAATCCCAGAGAGGAATAAATGGGTAAACATAACAGTTTTTGATCAAAGATTCGCTGTCATCTCTACCGACATTTCTAAAATCAACGGCAGTGGGTGTGAGCAGAAGACAGGAGGTCTCTTCTGCCGCTTTAAGTAGAACTAACTGAAGTAATAGAATTCTAGATTGCAAACTCAACCTAACAAAAACTTCTCTGACTGTCCAGCTGCCATTAAGTGTCTTCAATGCAATCACATTTCAATTTCAAAAGTGACAATAAGATGCAAAGATATAGTAAATAAGCTCCTGTCTGTATGCGAAACGACCGTGGTATCGATCCCCCCGGTATGGAGACCAAGCTAAAAGCGATATGGTCCCAACTGTGACAAATTTTGTATAGGTCGTAGGCAAAATATCTGATAAAATTTTACATCACCAGTGTTCCAATATGTAGTAGACGTCGTCGCTGAATCACTTGCAATGTAAACAGACAGCTATTTATGTAAAAGAAGGCGGAGCTCCATTACTATTCAAACGAGCGTAAAAACCAAACATTGTGTCCCCATAAGAACTCTAATGACTTTGGCCCGCCAAACTATTTAAACTTAAGTTTGTCTTTTAGAACTTTCTTCTGCAACAATAATAAATACTACTTGGAGCAGTATGTTGAAGTCTCTGGGGGCGGCAACCTTTAGAGACCTGAGTGAGATAGCGTGGGCCAATATGCGGTGACTGCTCAGCTTTGTAAACTCCACGCACTGGTTTGACTAGCGGGTAGGAGTGATTGAAATCCTGAGTGTTATCAAAATGGGCCCGCTTTTGGCCTAGGTGTGCAATGCCAAGCAACCACTTCATCCAACCTACCAAGCATCCACAATATAAAGGGTTTTAGCAACTAGGAAGATGTGAGGTACCTCTTTTCGCAGTCCCATCATTGGGTTGTTGACACGCCTTAAGTGCGCTCTATCAGTGTTTCTTGTTAACCCCAACTAACTAACTAATGGCGAGTAAGAAGCAGACTAAGTCGAAGTATGTCATAAAAGGTATAAAAAATAACCCATTAATTGAAAACTTGCAAACCCAGCTCGAACACTCTTAAAATGAGGTATTGTATGTAATATTAATATTAAATATGAAGCACTTATATCGACTCAAATTAAATATGTTCTATTAAAATCACTCAACTTACTATCAAATGAGATCTTCTTATGTCATCGGTGTCCATATCTAGAATTTCATCTATATCCACATCGATAGCTTCACTCTGAAATGACACAATGTACACATAAATGTGCAAATTTCGAATAATACTAGTCGTTAGCCATATGATTATCAGTTGTTGCGTCAACTCAAACTACTGTCAACTTACCGGTGGATCAAAGAGTTTCTGCAGTTCATCGTACAGCCACATTTCAACCGCCAAACGTTTACGTATCAAACTCATCTGATGTGAACCATACTTTGCTGTGAGGAACTTTTCACGTCGCTCCTTCACCTCAGCACCCTTCTCATTGAAGTTGACGCGAAGATTGGTCCGGTTCGGTGAGCGCTCGCAGTCATTCATTTGTTCCAGTCCACACTGCATTTTTTGCCTGTATGAGTGTGTTTTTGTTGTTTTACTTCCTACTCTCTTTTAACGTATACTTTAATGTATGGTGACTTATCTGCACCAGCTGTTGTACTTTTGTATATTACTTGGACTATGTAGTATACGTGTATGAGTACTTGACGACTTTGCTTTACGGTTTAAGTTGTAATGTTGGTGCTTTAGTTAACGTCTTTAGGTGTACGAGTACTTCTCAGTTCAATTATAATCAGCCTTCTATGTCAATTAAAGTACTGGGGGCGTTTGATTGATAATACTATGTTTGTCTACTTCGCCATGCCTTTTTACTGATCGCACCGTTTGTATGGTTCTCAATTAAATGCCAAACTGTAAATAAATTGGAGTGTAAGTAATAACATTAATTCGATTTAATTCGAGACTAATCAAATAAATATAAATTACATTTACACAAATAACGGTTATTCGTTGTATACATATATATGTATATAAACAATTCAGTATATATTTCTGTAGAGGAGAGATCATATTTTTATAAGCAAATATTTAGCTTTACATTGAAGAACTTTTAGTGAGCTTCGGTAGTAAGCTTTTTGGGGGTTCAAAAATTCGGCTTTATATGAAATTAAAAAAGCAAACAATAAGAAAATTTGTCATATTGGAATTGTTGATAAAACATAAATTTATAATCCCATTGACTGTGATGGCTGTGTCACCGTCTACTTGTGAGTCCAGGAGGCTTAACATACACGTATGCCTCTCACAAGCTACGTGACGGCATTTAAGGGGTTACATAGGTCTTGAAACCTTGACAATTTTTTGTATAAAAGTATAAAGTGTCAGGAATATTTTCGCCAAGTCTCAAGTCGATCGAGACGAAACTGTAGAAATTAGAAAGTTTTACAACTCGCCGTCTTTGCCATGGCTTGACAGATGGCGACATTTTAAACGTGTTTTTCTTAAAACCACTTTATCGAAATCGGTAGCCAAAATTTCTCAACGACTATTGAAGCGATCGAGTTCAAATTTTCCGCACTTCTTTTAAGCGTGCTTTTGTTGACCCTGAAAAAATGATTTATATGACCTAATTTTGTGCGAAAAATGACTTTTTTTTAATTTTTTTAAGTTTTCTTCGTTCAGGGACTAGGACACCTATTTTAAGAAAAAATTTGGATTTTTGATTTCAGATAAAAGTTGGAAAGCACTTTCTTTTGGACGGTCTACTACACGACACTGCCACGCCTTAACTTATACTATTTTTCATTCAAATTTTCATCAAATGTTGTCCACATATTGTACTTTTGAATGTAAATAAAATAAATTGTATACTTTATTTAGTACTCTAAAGGTTGAAAAACAGGCTAATTTTTCAGAATTCATTGTAGGAATATGGGAAAAGGAGTAAAATTTCTATTAAATTATTTCATTGAACATATATTGAAGTATATAAACAATATTTTTTAATTATCATTTTGTTATACAATAAAATCGCGCCCATAAAGTCCACGAATTCATGTTTTTTGAAAGGTGTCCACCGCTTTTTTCTAAGGTATGAGATCTAGAACAGAAACGCAAAAAGTTTTGTAATCTTAAAACTATGGTCTTTAAAAGAACGTATGGATTTATTTTTTAAAAATTTTTTGTGAAAGCAGCTAATTGTTTAAAAAGATTGATTTTTGACTAAAAAATATGCACTAAATTATTAAAAAAAGGATTTACATTTAATCGAAAAAAGACTACGTACTTCCAAAAAAAAATTATTTTCGAAGCTACCAACAACATTTTTGATAAATCGATGCAAAAGCGTCCGAAAGATCTTCTCTCACAGTTTGAAAAATTTGATTTTGAGAAAAACGTGTTTAAATTTTTCAATCTCTCTGAAGGGCTGCAGCAAAATAAAAAGTTCATCTATTTGAAACATTTTTTTTTTCACTTTAAAACCGATTGCATATCATTTCTAGATCCCTAAGGTACCCTGTGAAGTAAAAAAAAAAGCGTTTTCCAAAATCTTAGAGTAGTTTTACCCCTTAAAACACTGACCATTCAATGGCAGCGCGAACGGCTAACCCCCGGACGTCTCTTAACATATGATAATCGCAGTAGCACTACGTATTCCCATGAGAGGAGACAGGAGTGAAATAAAAAAGCTCCCCTTAATGGATTTTCGGACCCCAAATTTGCTGTATAATTGAAATTTGATATGTTTCAACCGAACCCAGGTTGTTCTTACTTCATACAATTAAAAATTGGTGAGTTGTCTTTAACTGCTTTAGAAGAGGCAAAGTTGGTGATCTATGGCCAAACAAGAAACATATATATGTACATATATATATTAAGCATATTAGTATTAAACATACATAAGTAGGTGTGTATATTGACACAGAATTGTTCTTGCACTTCTGTTGCCTTGACAGAAATTTTAATTTTTTTATAGTTATGTATGTAGACATGTGACTCATTTGGTATTTTCTTTTGTTTAACTTATACTATTGTTGCCGCTTCTGATTTCAATCTTTCAAAGGCTGCCGTAAAGTGTAGTACTCATGCGAAAGCTATATACATACACAAGTATATAATGACATTTCTACTAACCGATGGATCTAAAATACTTAAAACAATTTAGCTTATGAAATTTCATAAAATCTGTCAAAGAAAAATGGAAGGAACTGGCTAAATTTATAAATACTAAAGAGTCGAATCAGTGGATGCAATGATCAAGTGATTAGCATTGTGTACTGCTCTGTGACAGTTCAAAATTAATTTTTCTAACTGCCGTCGTCTCTTGGGAGGAAATGTCAATCTCTCTGAGTGTATTTCTAACATCAAATTCAAGGCTCCTCATAAAAATACATCGGCCGTTTAACGATCGGTTAGGCGCAACTTCATTTGTTCTAACAAAGAGAAGTTTCATGTCCAATATAAGCTGGAATAAGTCAAAACATCACTTCAAATATCAAAAATCGAATTACAAAACTAGTATAATTTTGTTGAACTATAGAAAGTTTAGCTTCCTGAATATGTTACTGTTTAAAGAGTTCAATACTTTAAGGGCTCAGTTGGCTGGTCGTCAAAAATTGTGGATGCTACAAAGGAAACTATATTATATATTATCTTCTGCCTATAAGTGCCCGTGTTCCTACATTTTTTTGTAGCTTTTGTATTCAGTTTAATAATAATTACAATATATTCAGGAACGGCCTGAAATGTCAACCACTCCGAGTGCTGATCTAATATGAAATAAAGAAATTCCTCATAAAATCCTATCAGTCGTTTGAAGGGATCATAATGCTATTTTTTATACCTTTCACGATTACGAAATAGTATATTAACTTTACTCTGAAGAGTACTCTGAAGAATAGATAGAAACACACCAAAATTTATATAGATTGAATCAGAATGACGGCTAAGTTGATTTACCCATGTCCGTCTGTATGCCTGTTTGTACACAAGCTAGTCCCTGAATTTTTGCGGTTATTGAACCCAATTTGGTAAGCATATGTAATCTTATATTGTATTGTTCACAACCAGAGATGCTCAACAAACTCAACGATATTATTCCGTTTTGCTAACAAGGAAATGAAATCGTTTCGTTTCGACGCCAACGAAATGAAATCGTTAACGTTGAAACCGCACAAAACGCTTTGTTAACGTTAATTTTAAAATTACTGCTTCAATTTTAACACTTAACATTATCTGTTAACGATTTAACATTAACATCGGGTAAAAACGAAAAGATATTTATTTTGTTAGCAGCTTCAACTTTAATATTTCCAAACGTTTTAACCAAAAAGATAGAAATTTTTTTGATTAACGTGACATTTAATGTTACAATGCAGGCTTAAACACAACCCATTTCTTCAAATATGAAGTTTTGGGTCAACACAAATTATCGCATTCTCTACAAAGAGCAGCCTGAAGATATTCAAGAGCTGCCATTTCATGCAGGAAAAAACTATGGTTTATTGTGGTTTGTGGGCCAGTGGAATAATCGGTTCATATTTGTTCAAAAATGGCGTCGGGAAACCGACTATTTGATGCCTGAAATTGAAGCAGGTTATCTCGGAGACATTTGGTTTCAACAAGACGTCGTCAATTAATGGATTTATTGAGAGAACACTTCGGTGAGCAGATAATCGTGTGAAGTTTTGGGTCAACACTGAGTCAAAAAAGTATCTAGATCCGAAATTTGGTATTCTACGCACATAGCACTACCATTCCAGTTTGTTACTGAAAATCATTGAAATCGAAAGTTTTTATCACATATTAAACACAATAAATTTGATATATGAAAAGTATAAAGATAGTAATCCTTTCTTGTTTCTTAAAATAATTGATTTTTCTTCTTTTGTTTTTCGAATTTTTTCAAGCCAATAATTAAATGCGATTAATTACATTAAAATTGAACAACATTCCTGAAAGTAATTTATACCATAGTACATTTTTAACGGCATATCTTCCTTCTATACAACCAAATGCATCTATGCATTTTTATATATGTATGAAGTTTTTAGTGAAAGAATACTCTCACGGAATAAAAAAATACTTTACATATTTTCTTAGTAGATGGTAATTTCTCAAGAAAGTCTCACAGAGTCACAAGTCTACATACATATCGATCTACATATTGAAAATTGTGTTGTACTCTGTAGATAATTTTCCCAACTGCCTTAGGCTTTTTCATCAACAGCCACTGAAATTGTGCTTAAAGTAGGCGTTGAAAGCGATGAACACATACGTGTACTACTGTGTATGCACGTGAATGGGTAATTTATGCCGTAAACTCTCTTCCGTAAACTGCTAATATCATGATAATTTTCTATGTTGAGAAAAATCTGTAGCTGTCCAAGATGTGGAAGAGACGTGAAAACTTGATTGTTTGGAAGCGTTGAAGTTTTAGTTTACATAAAATTACGTACTACAACAACAAGAAGTAGTAGAAGTAGTAAGAAGACAAGCTTAAATACTGCTGATAATTATCAACACAAATTTGTACAAAATGCACATACAAATGTACATATTTATTGTATACTAATTTTTTTATGTGACTATGTACAATAGGTAGAGAAGATTTTGCAAGCCATATTGACCATCCAAAATGGCAATTATTCTTCTTTGTGTCTGCGAAAAAAAAAAGAAACCATAAAATATATTCAAGCTAAAACTCTGATTCATCAGATCTCATGGCGACAAATAAAAACAAAGAAAAAACGCCTAAATGGTCATCAATGGAGAACACACAGAAGGTAGGCATTTGAGCTAAATGAACAAAGAACGTGACAGGAGTGCAGTTTTCGGCCATGACATGATACAGCGCCACAATTTCAAGAATTTCGCTGACAAACTTCATTTATAGTGATGAATGAAGAATA